TGGGCAGTGATGCACACTCAGAGCAGGGCTGCCCTCTGATGGCCAAGAAGAGAAGCTGAGAAGCTGGTCCACATTTCTTGGCCCAAACCTTCGGGGCTAGGTGATTTAGTTATTCAGAATTTTTTGACTTTTAGGAAGTAGTGCAAATATTGCATAATCCCTCATTAGGGAACATCTCTTAATAAAACAATATCTCTGCAACAAATATTCACACTAAAGGGCATATGAAGATTGAAATAGCTTCATGTTAGTGTAGGTTCAGGGCAGTTTTGGTATCAAATGAACTTGGGTTTTCAGAGCTTTGGGCTTTGGAAATAAGAACCTGTATGGAGCCGTACAGATAGGGCTCAGCACCTTCAGGGAAATACAGGGTTCTTTGTCCTCAAAATTGCATTCTATCTTGTCTTCCTTTCCCCAAAGAAAACTAGACAAAAATGGTCAGAATTGGACTTGTTATTCATACATTTGCATTGATTTCAATACATTACATACAATTCCTACAGTGCATTAGAAGAAGAATACCGAGGCAGCAGCTCTCTTGTGGCCTGGCCTCTGCGCCCTGACACCAGGGCACAGGGCCTCTGTCTGAGATATCCCATGACCACCACCCAGAAGCCAGTCCTGGCATTCTGGGCCCCTGGCTCTCCACAAGTCCATGTTCAAGGCAACTGAGTACAGGCTTCAAGGAGAATGGAGACAGGCCAGGAAAGGATGCCTCACCCTCTTTTGTCTGCCAGCACTGGGACCAGATCCCTCTTCCATTGGACCCAATTTCCTTATCACAGAACTCGCCTGGATGAGGGCACTATGCAGATCTGCTGGGCTGGGTGAAGCAACCAGGCTCCCTCAGACCGCTTTGGCTCTCTTGACACCCAGGTGGGGAGCTTTACTAACACATTTGTGTAAAGATGTCTTTGGGGAACTAAAACCTGGGTCTTCTCCTGGCTTCTGGGAGCCCTGATGCTCCTGCAGTCTAGGAGCAGGCATTCTTGCAAACATGATCCCAAAGGCCAGAGTCCAAGTTGGCTAAATGGGATTGTCAGGGCTGTAGCCTGCAGGGAGCCACACCTTTGTCCACAGGACATGCATATCCAGATCCCAGAGGCTCTCCCTGTCAGCTAGGTGGAAGCCCAGAACACACAGGTTCCTGGAGGCTGGAATGGAAGGGACCAGCCTGGCCTAGCTAATGAGAGGACTGTACATTTTTGCTCTGCCTCCTGGATGGTGGGAGATGGGCAAGCAGAAGGCACACAGTCATAGTCCTCGGTCCCTTTCTTTGGTTGTTTTTCAAACCTTTAGGATAGTTTCTTTCCAATGCTGATTGACCAATCGCAGGGTACCAGAAAACTGGAATGTCCAGTAGCATAGAGCTGCCCCTTAGCCACAGATGGCATCTTTTACTTCCTTTTGAGACCACTCTTTGCTTTGGTGTAGAAAGGGCTCAGACACCTGGCAAGGGGTACAGCTGAGGGAAAAGAGACATGGAAGCAGGAAGATACACAGCTGTGCAGGCACTGGGGGACATTTTAAAGGCCTCTCTCCTTTGGGCCCTGCTTTTCTCAAAAAGGCATGGAAAAACTGGCCTGGAACAAGTCAGGGAGCAAAGGGAAGCTGCCAATTAGGAAACAGAATACAAGCGCTGTTACCTCCACCAAGCAACAGTGGTTGCATAAAAACAAGTCCAAGGATCTAGTATCCTTCCCTCTTATGAACTGAGACCTGACGCAGAACCATTTCAAGACCCTCTCCAGACCTCCTAAGTCAGAAAGAGTTGAGGAAAAACTATCTAAAGCAACAGGAACACATTACAGGACTAGTCCAGTTTATGGGAGAGTCCTCTGGCTAGGGCCAAGGACTCAGGAAGCAAGACTGGGCTAAGTCTGCGGCTCCCAACATACTATTAGGTTATGTGGGCCACTTCCACATGCTGGGGAGTCAACTTCCTTCCTTCGGCTTTTGCCTGAGTGATCAGCAAGCCAAAGGTCTAGACTAGAGAGGGTGGGTCCTTTGCAGTAGAACTTACCTACACGGTCATATGCAGGACAGCTGGGATTTCTACAGCAAACTATCCCCACTAGGAAAATTGTGTTTAAAGACTTTCAGCCTACTGCACTGGTAGGGGGAGAAGGGAAAAAAGACTTGGCAAAATCACAAAGAAAAGGTGTAGCTTCTGTCTGTTCCAGCACTGAGAGTCACCCAGCTGGTCCACAGGAGTAAGGAACTGTGAGGCACCTGCACGGTTGGGCCCATGCAAATTTAGGCCTGGATCTGAGGTTTCTGACATGAGAGGATCTGAGATTCTGCCTGGGTTTTACTACTAGCATTTAAATTTGTATTTGTTTGTTTTTTTCTGATGCAGAATATAATGAGGAATTACAATAGAGCAGGGTGTTGGGGAAGGAAGGGAATTTCCCAGTCTGCCCTCAGGAGATGGCAGGGAGATGCTCCTTCCCGGGCACTGGAGTACTTGCATGGAGTGCCAGCCCTCCCCAGAGCTCAGAAAGGCCCAAGAGTGCGCACTGTCCCTCTGATTGTGCTTCTCCCTGTGCTTGGGAAAGCCCTGACGGGATGGTGAGCAGAGGAGGAGGGCTCTTAGGGACACTGCTCTCCTCTGGCTTCTCTGGCTTTTCCTGCAACCTGCTCCCCAGGCTTCCTCCCAGCCCAAGTCTCAGGCAATGTCTTTGTCTGCCTCTTGGGCTACCACCATGAGAAGAAGGGCTTCCGACTCTGAAAGCTCTGTGTGTAGGACTCGCTAGCAGATCGTTGGTGGGAACGGGCCGTCTCGACAATCACAGGTGGCATCTGGACAAGGTGCAGGGGACTCTTGTTGTCTTTCAGGGCCTGAGTCAGATTTAAGATCTGCAGGGGGGAAAATGAGATCAGTCAGGGAAAGGCCTAGGCATCCTGGTTGCTTCTGAAGGGAGACTAGCAGATAGAGTACTCCTATAAATCATTCAAAAAATAAACAACACAGTAATGAAAAATTGTACAAATAGGGTATTTACAAAAGTAGAAATATAAATGGGAATATACAGAAAATGGAAACCTCTCTAGCTGTTTTAAAAATAAAAGAACACCTACTATTTTTTGCCCTTTCTGTGAGTAAAGATACAGAAGACTCAGAGTTGAACAGAGTTCAAAGACATGGTTGTGGACCTGGAGTATGGGACAGTTTTTAAGAAAGGCAAGTGGATAAGAAAGGCTTAAAAGTGAAGAGACCCTATGATTTAGCAATTGCATTTTTAAGAGCTAAGGAAATAATCACAGATATGCACAAACACTTAGTTTCAACCAATACAGTGCAGTATTGTTTACAGCAGTGAAAATGATAAAACTGCCCAAGAGTATGGGACCAGTTAATCATTTAAGGGATAAGAAACAAGCAATTAAAAAAATTGGCATAGAAAGCTGATCACAATGTCATTAGATGGATAAGAAAAGTAATCAGTATTATAATGTGGCCCCTCCCTTATTTTCTAAAATTCTATCTTCCCATCCAACTCTCTGAAGAGAAAAACATCTGGAAGTTGGAAGTGACTGTCTTTGAATTAAGGAATTATAGGTGATTTTTATTTACTGTTGTTTATCCTTATTTTCTGATTTTCCTGCAAAAACTATGTATTAAAAAAGCCTAATACTTCAGTTGATTCACCCTCTAAGTCTGTCTCATCATCTTTTTTTTAAATAAAATTTTTACTTTGGAATAATTTTAGATTTACAGAAAAGCTGCAAAGATAGTACAAAGAGTTCCTGTACACCATTTACCCAGTTTCTCCTAATTTTAACATCTTACATAACCATGGTACATTTACCAAAACTAGAGAATTAGCATTGGAACATTACCATTACCCAAACTCCAGACTTAAAGCAGATTCCATTAGCTTTTCCAGTACTGTTCCTTCTCTATTTTGGAACCCATCCGGATACCACATTGTATTTTAGCTCCTTACCAACTTTTGTCTGTATTTACAGATATTTCACATGTGGGTCCATGGGAACACATTATCTCCCCCTTGTTAAAATTAGAATTCCCACCATTTATCTTCTCTGGTGGGACAATACAAAACTTGAAGCTGACCTAGGACAGCCTTCTTTAAACCAACAGATGATTTTCACATCCCGTCTTCAGACACACAGGAGAGTAAGCTAGGCTGCACCCTCAGATCACACTAACACACAAAGCCCTGAAGCCACAAATATCCTGGGCCCACAAATGCTGCTAATGACACAGAGATTCACCTGGAACAGAGGTCAGAAGTCAGAAACAGACCCTCCCAGTAGGGAGTTCCCTTTTCACTTAATTGTTCTGGTACTTGTCAGCACCTTACACTGCTTCAAAGACTCTTGAGCAAAAGTTCAGGACAAAGAATGAAAAAGGAGCTTCAAGTGGAATTGGAGTGGGTTGTGCAGGAGACCATCCACCTTAAGAGAAAGAGGGTTTGAAACCTGTGCTGGCTGGATCTTCTGTGCTTCCTTGGGTTCTCTGGGTTAGAAGATACCTCTTATGTGTGCTGCAGTATTTGTAGTAAAATGTCAAATTGTAGACACTTACTTTCAAAAGATTTGGCAAAGAAAAAAAACTAGGGAGAGAGACAAATTATATAGATGTATTAAAGAGAGAAATTATACAGACATATTATTTAGATAGGTAATATCTAAATATAGAAATATGAGATAAAGGTAGTAACTAAATATAGAAATATGAGATAAAGCAAATCTGGCTAACTAAATGTAACCACTGGTGAATCTAGGAGAAGATCCCACTCTTTCAATTCTACTAAGGTTTGAAACTTTATCATACTAAAAATTTGAAGAAAATTTTACAGCAGGCACATAATGCTAAGAATAAATAATATCTTTAAAAATGTTATTTAAAGGGGATTTCCCTCAGACCCTGCATTCGGCATCTACTTTCTGGTTAGAATAATAGATAATAAATAATCACCCAACTCCATCTCTCCGGGGTTTCTTCACCCTTACCCTTCAGCTCATGGCTTCCACATAGCCCACCTATGATTACATTTCAGGTAGGGAGAAGGTTATGGCCTCATTCCCCTGTGGTACATCAGATTTCTGTAAGGCAGAGGCTCATTTTTGCTCCAACATGTGACTGATAAGCAAGTGGTATACTGGCCACCTACAGGCTGGGAGGCACTGGATGTTCATGGAATCTTATAGTGTTCAGAGGAAAGTGCACTAGGTTATAAGTTGCCAAAAGGCCCTCAAAGAACACTAAGAGCAGAAGAGGGAGAGAAAGACAAAAATGAACTCTCCCAACCACCCACGTTTTCCTTTTGCCACTTTAGATAATGGCCTACATGGTTATAATGAAATGAGGATTGCTATGGCAACTGAGGCTCTTACCCAAGGTTACAGACCTTATAAATGGTGAAGCAATGACTCTAGAGCCTAGCTCTTAACTACCAAGGCATATGGCCTGTCTTGAGCAACATGAGGGCAGGGACTGCTAGGTCAGTTTACCAATGAACTATCCAGCGGCACACAGTTAAGCACCTAGTAAGTGCTTCACCAAACACTGGATATTGTGGAAGACGTGGGAGATTTGAAGGGCTAGCATTTTCTCCCATGTGGTAGGGCAGTCACAAACATGCATGGCATCAACTAAAATGGGTGTAAAATACAAGTTTTACACATTTACTCAACATGAGCATATAACCCTCCCAAAGAGATCCCTGGATGACACCAGGAGGAAGCCCCAGGCTTACCTGTCCCCGCATGACAGCAATCTGCTTATGGAACTGGCCCCTATCGAAACCAGGATCTTTCTATAAAAGAAGGGCAGAAGGAGATAGAATCGGCCTGAGTCCCTCAGAAGCCATTTTCCTTCTCAATTAGAAATGTTCTAAGGACAACCTACCTGAAGCTTATAAGGCTTAAATATCTTGCCCTGAGTCTCATTATTAACTACAGAACTCCAGGCTCTCGTGCTCCCTGTGAAAATGAGCTCAGCAGATACACTGCAGCCACACCACACAAAGGAAACACACCAGTGTGATTCATCAGAGCTGCCAATGTGTTTTCAAACCAACCCAAAAGAGATCTTGCTGTGCACATGTGGGAATCTTGCTCTTCAATGGCTAACACAAATCAGAAGGGTGCTAGCCATTTAGCCATTCTCTCTTGGACCAATTATAAAAACTATTAGAAACTCTTTCTTCTATATGGTTATAAGGCTCAGGTTCCCAGAGCTAACCTTGAAGAGCTCATATAGGTCTTCCTCCAAGTCCTTGACAAAGTTAGGGTCCGATATCTTTGGAAGAATCAGTTCTTTGATCTCCTGAGAGAATGGGACTTTTGCCTGGGGCAACCAGGCCCAGTAAAAGGGATCTGAAAAGAAGAAAAACCAAAGGCACAGCTAGTATTGATACAGTCCTTGCTCATCTATGTCCTCCACCTCTCAGAGCACTGCAAAAGGCAGAACACCCCTCTTACTGGACAAACAAGAGAAAAGAAAGAGTTACGAGGGCTATTAACTGCAAAGGTTACACAGTAAGTAGAGGAACTAGGATTCAGACCAAGGTCTGCTTAATTCCAGGGCCTGTGCTCTTTCCCAGACATTACATGACCTTCCAAGATTCAAGCCCATTTAGAAGCATGCACATGCCACTGAGACACTGAAGTGCTCCTTCTGAAAAGATAGATTAGTACTGCAAAGGGGCTAGTGAACCCTATTTATATCTCTCTCTTTCTTTCCAAAAGTTTCTCAGTTATAACAGGGCAGGTGCTGGCTTCCAGGGTGTCAACTTACATGTAGGGACACAAACAGAATAAATTATGGTAAGACAAGTCCTCAGAAAGAATAAGAAAAATGCTAAGCATAAAGATAAGAAAACTCAATTCTACACTTCTAATGGGAATAATGTAAGATAAAAATTATAATAATAGCTTGCATTATGGAGTAGCTGCCATGTACCAGCCATTGTGCTAAAGTGCATGAGCTGCATTATTTCATTAATTCCTAGAACAATCCTGTGATAGAGATATTATTATCTTCATGGCACAGATTACAAAACTGAGACTGAGCAAAAAAAGAGCCAGACCACAGTGGTCTTGAGACTTACATGCCCTCCAGGAGTCAGGATGCTTCAGGGGGAAAGCCAACCCGTTGTCTATAGCAGCCACCCTGATAACAGGCTCCTTTACCACCACCCAGTCTGTGTCCTGAAGAGCAAGGAAAGACTAAATACTTAGGATGCAATCTGACTCAGGCCCTTTAAAGTAGCAGCAAAGCATCCCATCTCAACTCCTTTAGGACTGATCCTTATTCAACCTCTGAACTAGTTTTCATATTGTTACTTGAATTTTGTACACTTATGGCACCTCTGACTTGGCTAATTCAAGGTTCTCAGAGTCCCTTTTTCTTGTCTTAGAACAGGTGCACTTCCCTAGTGGAGTTGGCACAGTCCTTGATTGATGAAAGGCAATGATAACAACAAAAGCTAACTATAAGCCATTCCTCCTAGGAAAAGGCAATGAGACTTCTTGAGAACATGAAAAAGAGAAAGATCCTTTTGTGTGGACTTTTACCCCAGATGCCACTTCACTGGTGGTGACCACACTTTCTTGATAATCTTCCATGAATCATGGAAGATAACAGCTGACTGCTCTTGCATAAGGGTGTCTGTTCCCCTGCTTCAATGATACATAAAAAGGAAACGGACAAGAGTTGAATGCAAAAGAGTGGGGCAGGTTATCCATGAGAGCCCATGTCAGACACTCCCATGACTGTCTATGTGGCCCCATGCTTCAGGTTCACTGGGACCATCACAGGAACAGGGAATGTGATTCCAGAATACTTGCTTTAGAATCCCCTGGGATACCTTATTAAAAGTGTGGCATCCTGAGCATTAGCCCAGACCTAATAAGGGAAAGTCTTAAAGAATATGTATAAGCTCTTCAGGCGATTCTGATGTACAAAATTTGAGAGCTACTATTAGAGAGGGAAGTAAAACGCTGTGAGGATGTGTTAGCTGATCTTATTGTGTGTAACCTTATGTGATAAACATTCTGCAATATAAATGCATCAAATCATCACACTGTACATCTTAAATTTGCATAATGTTATATGTCTACTATATCTGAATAAAACTGGGGAAAAAAAAGAATAAAAGCCACCTCATTCTCCTTCTCCAGTTAGCCTTTCCACTAATTTTTTAAAATGTATACACTAAGCAGGACCACAGAAGTATGGTGGAGGATAAAAGCAGTGAGAAAATAAAGAAAGCTGCAGGAAGCAGCTTTTTCTAAATGATGTTGTGTAGAGTTGTGATCTGTTGTGAAAAAACTGTTCCATGGTCAAGAAGTTTGGAAATTGCTGGACCAAACAAAATTAAATAGGTTCATTTAATGCACTATTTCTCAGACCTTTACTATGCTACTATGTAGTATGAATCTCCAGGAAATGCATAAAATATATAATAGGTTCCAAACTTATCTGAACTTTTCTTCATTCTATCCCTATTAACATCATTCAAAGGGATATTCCTTTAAAAACAAATTGAGAAAAGCTCTACCAAATATTAACCTTTCAATTTTAAACACATGTGCTATCCTGATTCTTCTGAACTTACAGGATCTGAATATCTAACCATTATGTGCTTCTATATTATGCATATATTTCACTTCATCCTCTTCTTCAAGATATAGATTGACCTCTTACCCGAGAGCTAGAACTATCCATTGGACAGTCATATTTAATCAGCCAGTTGTCATTGCCTCGATCTGTGAACAGAAACATGAAGTTAGTAGAAAAAAACTAGAATGACTTTCATTTTCAATAATGATAGAATAGATAGTTTGGACCAATCATTCTACTGAGAATGACTATAAAACATGAATAAAATATTCTTAAATATCTTGAAGGCATTGGAGTTTTAATAAGACCATTGAGAGTTAAAGTGTTAAGATCTGGGAGAGTAAGGAAATCTAGAGAGGAGAGTTCAGCATTTGTTGCTTCTTTTCTTCTCTAGCACCTGTTGATTTGGGAAGAGGTGGCTAAGAGGCTGAGAGATGTGACAGTGTTCTAATATCCTTGTGGAGCTAGGGAGACAAATTTGTAGCCTGATGACTGATAAGGGGGAGGAGGCCCTGGTAAATCACCCATGCTTTGGGTTGAAACCTGAAGGACTACACCTTGGATGTGAGCAGTTTCCCCATAATACCTGAAAGTAAAGTCATCCTGAATTGCTGATGCCCCTAGCTGCTTGCCACAAGCAAAACTTCTTCCAGACAGGATCTATGTCAGCATCCTAGTCCTTCAACTATTTGTACAATTTCTGACACTCAAAAATAACCAGGTGTATGAGGAGACATGATGACATGAATAAAAACAAAGAAAACAAAAGAAAATTAAAATAAATCTATAGGAGCTCCAAACAGTGAAGATACGGACTCTAAAATGTTCAAGATAAAATCCTTAATATGTTTAAGAAGATGAAAGTCAAGATTAAAAAATATCAGCAGAAAACAGGAATCTATAAATAAGAATCAAACAGAAATTCAAGAACTTAAAAATACAGTTATCAGAGTTAAGAACACAACAGATGAGTCTGACAGCACACTGTGTTACAGAGAGAAGTAGTGCTCTCAAAGATAAGTCACAAGAAAACAGCAGAATGAAGCACTCCGGAAAAAAGATGTATATGTGAACACATACTAATTACACATTCTTGGAGTCCTAGGAGCAGAGAGAAAAATGGGCAGGTGTAATATTTAGAGGTAACAGCTGAGGATTTTCCAAAAGTGACTAAAGATCTCATACTAGAGATTCAAGGAAGCCTGTTCTTATCAAAGAAAGAAAACTATACCAAGGTATATCACAGTAAAACATTTGAAAACAAACTACAGGGAAAATCTTAAAAGGAACTAGAGAAAAAGACAGATTACCTTCAAAGAGGCAAGAATAATATGAATAATAACTGACTTCTCCACAGAAACCATGGGAACAATAAGACAACAGAATTTTTTTAACTGCTGAAAGAAAATAACTGCCAATCCCAAATTCTATACCCAGCAAAAATAGCCTTCAAAAAATGAGGGTGAAATAACAACATTTTCAGACAAACAAAAAAGTAAAAAATTCATCACCAGCAGATGAGTATTAACTATTCTCCAAGTCCAAGGAAAATTAACCCAAATAAAAACTTAGAATGCAAGAGGAAATAAAGACCAATAAAATGGGTAAATATGTCAGTAAATCTAGACAAATATTGTTAGTTTTCTTTGGTGTGACAATAGTATATATTTTTTTAAAGAGTTATCTTTTAGAGACACATACTAAAATAATTATGAATAAAATCATATCTTGGATTTGCTTTAAAATAATACAAGATGAGGATAAATGAAAGTGTGAATAGGACAGGATTTATCATGGATTGATGGTTGCTGAGAATGGAACAACTGGTTCAAACAGTTCATTATTTTGATTGTGTATATTCAAATGTCCCTATTAAAACTTATTTACAATAATAATAATGATAATATTATCTTATAGTTTTACATAAATGTGTTTTTATGTATACACATACACACAATATATGTACCTATATGATTAAAATACATGACAGAAGTATAAGTATGGAAATGGGTAAACAGACCTAAGGATTTTTGCATTGTCTAAGATCTTTGCATTGTCCAAGAAGAAAGTGCCAATTAATACTAGATTTTGGGAAACCAAGGATTCAGTGGTAATCTTTAGGATAACCACCAAAAGAAACAACAAAAAAATATATACAACTTCCAAGCTAAAAGAGGGGGGAAATTAAATAATTATAAAATAGTTTAAAAGAAAGCAAGAAAGGTGAGAAAAAAAATCATAGAAGAATCAGAAAACAGAAACAAGTAATAAAATGGCAGGTAAAAATTCAATTATATCTATAAGTACATTATAAATTAATGAACTAAATGCTCAAATTTAACAGTTGTCTCACTGGGTAAATAAAATTGACAAAGTCTTACCTAGACAGACTAAGAAAGAAAAGAATAATCAAGTTACTAAATCAGAAATGAAAGTAGGGACATTTCTATGGATTTTACAAAATAAAAAGGATTATATTATTGCAGAATACTACAAGCAATTAGGCCAGCAAACTGGTTAACCTACATGATATGGACAAATTTCAAGAAACACAAAACCTACCAAGATTAAATTGTGAAGAAACAGAAGAAAATAGAAAACCACAAAGAAACAGACCTATAACTAGTAAGGAGATTCAAGCAATAATCCAAAAATCTCTTGACAAATAACAGCCCTGAACCTGATGGCTTGACTAGTGAATTCCACCAAACACTTAAAATATAACTAACACCAATCCTGTGCAAACTTTTCAAAGAAACTGAAGAGGGGATATTCCATAATTCATTCTATGATGTTGGCATTACCTTGATACTAAAGCCAGACAAAGACATTATAAGAAAATGACAGACCAATACCCTTTATGAATACTGATGAAAAAATCCTCCACAAAATGCCAGTAAGCTGAATTCATTAGCATATTAAAGGATCATACACCATGACTAAGTGGTATTTATTGCTGGAACACAGGAATGGTTCAACATATGAAAATCAATCAATGTAATATATCACATTTACAGAATAAAGAAGAAAAACACAATCATCTCAATTGATGCTGAAAAATCATCTGACAAAATTTGACATCATTTCATGATAAAAACATTCAACAAACTGGGAGTAGAAGGAAACTACCTCAGCATAATAAAAGTCATATGTGAAAATCCCACAGCAAATGTCACACTCAATGGTGAAAGACCAAAATATTGTCTTCTGTGATCTAGAATAAGGTAAGGATGCTTGCTTTCACCATTTCTATTCAACAAGTATAGGAAGATAAGAGCAACTATGCAAGAAAAATAAATAAAAGGTAACCAAACTGGAAAGGAAGAGGTAAAATGATCTCTTCTCACAGATGAGATGATCTTATATGCAGAAAACCCTAAAATTTTCACACACAAAAAACTCTGAATAAATAAACTCAGCAAAGTATCAGAATACAAAGTCAACCCACAAAAGTCAGACGTACTATTGTTCAATAACAATTAACAATCCAAAAAGGAAATTAAGAAGGCAATTCCATTTCTAATAGCATCAAAAACAAAAAGAATATGTAAGTAATAATTTAATCAGGAAGGTGAAAAGATGATACAATGAAAACTACAATGCTGAAATTTTAGAAGATATAAATAAATGGAAAGACACCCTATGTTAATATTTGGAGGAATTTCCAAAAAGGAAATTAAGAAGGCAATTCCATTTCTAATAGCATCAAAAACAAAAAGAATATGTAAGTAATAATTTAATCAGGAAGGTGAAAAGATGATACAATGAAAACTACAATGCTGAAATTTTAGAAGATATAAATAAATGGAAAGACACCCTATGTTAATATTTGGAGGAATCAATATTGTTAGGATAGCCATACTAGAGATTTAATGCAATTCTTACCAAAATACCAATGATATTTTTTGCAGGAAAAAAAAAAAAAAACCTACCCTAAAATTCATATGGAACTTCCAGGGACCCTAATAGCCAAAACAATCCAGAAAAAGAATAAAGCTGGAAGGAATCGCATTTCCTCCAAAACTTTCAAACATATTACAAAACTACCACTAAAAACTTACTATAAAGGTAGAGTGATGAATAAAGTGTGCTACAGACATGCAGACCAATGGAACAGAATAGGAAGTCTAGAAACAAATCTTCACATATCTGATGAAATGATTTTTGATAAGGGTGGCAAGACTATGTACCAGGAAAAGAATCTTTTTAATAAATGGTGCTGGGAAAACTGGATATTCACATAAAAAGAATGAAGTTGGATCTTTACCTAACACCATATAAAAAATTAACTCAAAATGGATCCATGATATAAACCTAAAACCTAAAACTATAAAATTCTTAAGATGAAAACATAGGGCAAAGTTTCATGACAGTAGATTTTGCAATGATTTCTTAGATATGACATCAAAGGCACAGACAGCAAAAGAAAAATAGATAAATCGGACTTCATGAAAATTTTAAAAATTAATTCATCAGAAAACACTATCACCAGAATAAAAAGGCAGCCAACAGAATGGGACAAAATATTTGCAAAACATACCTGATAAGGAATTAATATCCAGAATATACAAAGAACTTCTACAACTCAACAACAATAAAACAACAACCCAATTCAAAGATGGGCAAAGGACTTGAACAGACATTTTCTCCAAAAGTATACAAATGGCCAAAAAGCACATGAAAAGATGTTCAACATCCTTAATCACTAGGAAAATGCAATTCAAAACTACAATGAGATATTTTGGTAATGTAAAATGGAAGAGCTGCTGTGGAGAACAATACAACAGTTCCTTCAAAAATTAAACACAGAATCAACATATGACCCAGCAACTTCTCTTCTGGGTATATACTTAGAAGAATTAAAAGCAGTATGTCCTAAAGATATTTATACACCTATGTTCTCAGCACCATTACTCACAATAGCTAAAATGCAGAAGCAACCAGCATCCAATGACAGATGAATAGATAAAATGTGGCATGTACATGCAATGGAATATTACTCAGCCTTAAAAAGAAAGGAAAACTAGCATATGTTACAATATGAATGAACCTTGAGGATGTCATGCAAAGTGAAATAAGCCAGCCACAAAATGACAAATACTGTATAAGTCCACTTATATGAGGTAAAGACAAACTATCCTGTGATAGGCCTTGCTACTATGAATGTAGGGATTTTTGATCCCTAGTTGTCCTGTTGCTTTGGAAGAGCCAAAGTGTCTTCTGTCTGAGACCAGGAAAGAGGCTAGGGTAAAATGTAAATACTGGCTCCAGGCCTCACCCACCACCTCAGATAATCACACATGATATGCCTAGACAAAGTTTGTCTTGCTAAAGTGTTCTCGAGACTCTTCCCAAATGTGGAATAATCCTTCTGACTAAAGAAAAGTCATCCTGATAAAGCATTCTGATACCAAGCTCTGCAAGCTTCCAGGCCTCCTCCCGTGCCTCACTGCAGTCTGGCAGAGGCCATGGGACCACCCACAGCTGCTCACCAGTGTTGCGGATGATGTAATCCAGCACCACCAACCTCTCAAACTGGAGCAGTAGTTGCCGGTTAGTGTTTTCAGCGAGAGGTTCTGCTTCAAAACGCCGTAGCCAGTAGTCTGCATCTTTGTAGGATTCCACAAAGAGCTGGAATGAACCAACCTACAACCAAAAAGGAGGAATAAAGGTATTTCCCTACAGCCCAAGTCCAAAGACACCATAAGTAAACCAGACACCCACTAAGGCCCTGTGGAATTTATATATCAGAAGATTGTGGTACCTGGTGAAGTGATTTCCCATCCAAACTCAAGAAACCCATCTAAATGGTCCAGAGAAGTAACATGAGAAAGTTATGGTATTTATTCTCTGGAAAATTAATCTCTAAACTCTAGGCCCTTGACAGAAATGAGGAACACAGGGGCCTCAGGGCAGGCTATTCATGTGTCCTTATGCAAGTCTATAGGCACCCTGCTTCACCACTTGAATGATTTATACCACTATAATATATTGCCTATAAGCCACACAGGTAGTCTATACCTTTGGCGGTAGCCCGATGCGGTTAAACCGCTGCCCAACTTTTGGCACTTTCTCTAGTGCAAGCCGCTTGCCCCTGGACTTCACGCGATCAATGGCACTATAGTTGAAGGTCTCACTGGCCAGGTATACTACCTACAGTGGAAAGAGAAGAGATACTTAGGTTAAAGTCAAGTATAAGGAACTATACCACTATGGTAGAGAATAGCTAGGTGCTCACCAGTACTGTTCCTCTTCCAAGGCACACAGAAAGAATGCATTTCTCAGCCTTTCTAGTCAGTAGGATAGAAATGAAGGGCTCTGAGATGGTAAAGCCACATCATGGAAGGATCCTAGATCCCTTATCAACTACATGGAGTAACAAAAGATCTAGATCCTAACTGGCATGGATCTATGATGTGAGTAAAAAATAAACTCCTACTGTTTTAAGCCACTGTGACTGAGGGGTTGTCACAGCAGCTAGCAAGAATTACCTGACTAATATAGACACCCCTGGGTTAGGAAAGGATGGCCCAATGCCTATTTTCTCTGCAGATAAAAACGAATTTTTCTATCAATTTACTCTATACCCTTTAATTTCCTTTTGAAGTTTGTACTACATGTAAATTATTCACATTCAAAAAATAAACATTAAAATAGGTTGTAATTTTTAGTGAATTGCTATATTTATGCATGTTCCTGCAGACTATTTCTGGACTATTACACAAGAAACTAGCAAGAGCAGCTGCCTTTGAGGGAAGAAACTGAGTGACTGGAAAACGGGTGGGAGAGAGGCCAAATTACTCTTCTCTGTTTACTCTATTGTGCCTTCTGATTTTTGCACTAGATGCATGCATTGCCTATTCAAAAAAGCATTTTTCAATGGCCACCAATATTACACTTTACTGTCAAATTGTGGTGATATCACTGTAATATGTATGTACATCCATTATCACACCTACCATATTTTTTTATGATTATCCATTTGTATATCTAAATTCTCTCTTAAGACTAATGAATTCTGGGGAGGAAGAGAACATCATATTTATATTAGCATCCCCAGTATCTAACACAGTGCCTGGCACATGCTTATTAAATATTTAGTAAATGAATGAAAGAATAAGTTACAAGCTTCTTTCAGAGACAGCAACAAGTGAGTTTTAAAATATAAATACCTAAAATCAAATTTATAAGGAAATTCTTCTCCTAAGCCTTGCAAAATTCATTACAAATAACTAATCATTCTGCCTATGAACCTTACAGATAAAGAGAGGCAAAATAATTCCCTCCCTCCCATCCATCCACCCATACACCCAGTGCTAATGAAGTACCTAAACTGCGTGTGCAAGACACTATGTCAAAACCTCTGCTGAGGAAACTCTGACACAGAAATAAAGGGAAAAAAAGGCTTTCCTAACACTGTCTTGCCAATTTCCACAGTGAAAGCCCTGGCTCTCTTAAGCCATAAATCATCCTTTTCCCATCAGACTTATTTTTGATCACTCTTTGTAACAAACCATTTTCCCTACAGCTAAAGAAACTATCACAACCTGAAACCTCACAGAGACAGCTATTGATTGAGAATTAGAGTCTTACTATTTGAAACCCCATTGCAACCTTGAGCCCTGTTGCCACAGTGACAGATGCTCTGATCAACTGGATAGAATCCTGTCACAAGGGTGTTAGGGGAGGCAAGGAGGGGAGAGACTTCCTCTTACTATTCTTCAGTAGCTGTATGTTAAGCTCGCAAAGTTCTGTCTCATTTCAGTCTCATGGAAGAGTGTTTTTGTTGTTGCTGACTTTCTGTTGCAAAAGCTCCTCAAGCCTTATTAAGGTTCTCTACCAGGGAAAAAGGAAGACCAGAGCTGGGGAAGAAAGAGATTGTGGGGGGGGACATTAATGATTAGAACACTCATAAAAATACCATAGCCTAAAACATATGGTGTTTACATTGTGCCAGGCACTGGGCTAGGTGCTTTATGTAGATTATATTATGTAATCTAATAGCCTATAATATAGGGACTATCTATATCCCTATTTTATTTTTACAGTGAGGAAACTGAGCAGACAGAGGGTATGGGGGTGGCTTAAGTGACTTGCCCAAGGTTCACCCAATAAAAAGCTGTAAAACCAGAACTTGCACTCTAATTCTTAGGCACTGTACTCCGGAAGCACAGTCAGAGCAAGCAGGTCTTGGGCCAGGGGCAGGCTGCTATTCACCTGGAAAGGAAATTACAGGGTGATGAGCAAGGAGTATTCGTACAAGTTCCTAATGTCTAGGAGGGGCCTAGCAGGAGGATTTCAGGTTAGGCAGGAGATCTTAGGAGCATTAATTATCATATCAGATGTTCAAAGTATGTTCAACGATGCAAAGAGAAAACTAAAGCATAAAGGGAAGGAGTGAGCAGCGCAAGGCCAGGCAGTGAATTTGATGTCAAATGCGAGTTACAAGGGATTAAAGACAGTGGTGTGAGAGGTGAGACAGAGACCTCCTCCTAAAACCACATACAATATGATAATATAATTAATACAACTAATGCTGAAAGATCAACAGAAAAGAGGGCTGCACCAGACTGCATACACCTGGAGAGAAGAGCGGACCTCACAGAACAGGGTAACATACCAAAGCTGGGACCTGGTGGGACTCAAGCCCTTCCACCACCCCAGCTGACCTACAGGAGGAAGAGAAACAGAGTGGGGAGGGTGTGGAGGCCTAGGACTGCTGAACACCTAGCCCTGGAAATCTGCTCTGGGAGCATGAACCTACATTGCATGGTGCTCTAGTGATTAGTGGGGTTGGAAAGCTAAGACAGGAGGAATACCTGGAGAGATGGAGATTCCAGCTGCTTGTGGAAAACAGGAATTCATATCCATCTGATCTGGGTGGGCAGTCAGAGACTTCCTAACAACAAGATGGCTGATAATGGGGCAAGTACTGCACAGATCTTACTGCTCAGGAGAAAGGGGAGGTAGACAAAATTGTCCGAGTGCACTCTGCCCAGCAGGTTAGGAACTTAAAACAATCTTCAGGCACTCCATTCCCCTGGCTGGCTACACAGCTCAAAGCCCCTCCACCCCACCCCCCGGGGATACACAGACTGCTATGACTTCCTCCCGGCTAGCCTGTACCTGGCTTGTAAACCGGCAGCCCCTGCCCTGGTGTCAGGCCAGCCAGAGGGAAGCCCCACCTATGGCAGCTACAAACACAAAGCATAGAGGCTTACGCCTGTGTGTTCAGCCCACTGGTTCTGGCAGTGGAGACAGGCATAGCAGCCGATAAGCAGGAAACAGCTCTTTCCTCCCCCTAGGCACCAATACCACTTCCCTGTGACCCCCTCCATTTGCTCCAGGGGCTGAGCAGCTCCTGAGAATAGAGCTTCTGGGCACTAGAGGGTGCCACATACAAATATGAAACGTCAAAGGAACCTGGTTCAAAGCAAAATCTCACCACCAGAGAATGGACCCAGTGAAAGTGAATACATCTTCCTGAAAGAGACTTCAAAATAAAAATCATAAACATGCTCATGGAGGTAAAGAAAAATATTCAAGAACTCAGGAATGAATTTAGGATGGAGATCCAATCATTGAAGAGCATAATGGAGGGTATTAAAAGCAGATTAGATACGGTGGAGGAGACAATAAATGAAACAAAAACTAGGGAAGAGGAATAGAAGAAGCTGAGGCACAGAGAGAAAAAAGGATACAACGTGTCTTTGAGGAAGTAATTGCTGAAAACTTCCCCAATCTGGGAATGAGATAGTCTCTCAGGCCATTAAGGTGCACAGATCTCCCAACACAAGGGACCCAAGAGGGACAACACCAAGACATATAATAATTAAAATGGCAAAGATCAAGGATAAGGACAGACTATTAAAAGCATCCAGAGAGAGAAATAAGATCATATACAAAGGAAAACCCATCAGGCTATCATCAGACTTCTCAAAAGAAACCTTACAGGCCAGAAGGGAGTGGCATGATATATATAATGCAATGAAGCAGAAGGGCCTTGAACCAGGAATACTTTATCTGGCAAGATTATCATTTAAATTTGAAGGAGGGATTAAACAATTTGCAGATAAGCAAAAACTGAGAGAATTTAGCTCTCACAAACTTTCTCTACAGTATATTTTGGAGGGACTGCTATAGATGGAAGTGTTCCTAAGGTTAAATAGCTGTCACCAGGGGTAATAAAAAGAGATAGACAAAGTGTACAGAATATGATACCTAATATATATAGAATGGAGGAGAAATAAAAGGAGGGGGAAAAAAACCCTTTGGATTTGAGTTAAGTTAGACTCTTAGACAGTAAAGAAGTTACCCTTGAACCTTTGGTAACCACGAATCCAAAGCCTACAATGGCAATAAGTACATACCTATCAATAATCACCCTAAATGTAAATGGTCTGAATGCACCAATCAAAAGACACAGAGTCACTGAATGGATAAAAAAAACAAGACCCAACTATATGCTGCCTACAAGAGACTCACTTTAAACCCAAAGACATACACAGACTAAAAGTGAAAGGATGGAAAAAGATATTTCATGCAACTAATAGGGAGAATAAAGCAGGTGTTGCAGTCATTGTATCAAACAAAATATACTTCAAAACAAAGAAAGTCAAGATACAAAGAAGGACATAACATAATGATAAAGGGGTCAATCCAATAAGAGGATATAACCATTATAAATATCTATGCACCCAACACAGGAGCACCTACATATGTGAAACAAATACTAACAGAATTAAAAGGGGAAATAGAATGCAATGCATTCATTCTAGGAGACTTCAACACTCCATTCACTCCAAAGGACAGATCCACTGGACAGAAAATTAGTAAGGAGACAGAGGCATTGAACAACATATTAGAACAGATGGGCCTAACAGACATCTACAGAACTCTCCACCCAAAAGCAGCAGGATACACATTCTTTTCAAGTGCACATGGAACATTTTTCAGAATAGACCACATACTAGGCCACAAAAGGAGCCTCAGTAAACTCAAAAAGACTGAAATTGTACCAACCAACTTCTCAGTTCACAATGGTCTAAAACTAGAAATAAATTGTACAAAGGAAACAAAAAGGCTCACAAACACATGGAGGCTTTACAACATGCTCCTAAATAATCAATGGATCAATGACCAAATAAAAACAGAGATCAAGCAACATATGGAGACAAACAATAACTCAGTAACCAAAATCTGTGGGATGCAGCAAAGGCAGTGCTAAGAGGGAAGTATACTGCAATAAAGGCCTACCTCAGGAAAGAAAGACAATTCCATATGAACAGTCTAAACTCAAAATTAACAAAACTAGAAAAAGAAGAACAAATGAGGCCCAAAGTCAGTAGAGGGAGGGACATAATAAAGATTGGAGCAGAAATAAATAAAATTGAGAAGAATAAAACAATAGAAAGAATCAATGAAAGCAGGAGCTGGTTCTTCAAGAAAATAAACAAAATAGAAAAACCTCTAGCCAGACTTACCAAGAAAAAAAGGGAGTCTACACACATAAGCAGAATCAGAAATGAGAAAGAAAAAATCACTATGGACACCACAGAAATACAAAGAATTATTAGAGAATGCTATGAAAAATGATATGCTAACAAACTGGATAACCTAGAAGAAATGGACAATTTTCTAGAAAAATACAACCTTCCAAGGCTGACCCAGAAAGAAACAGAAAATCTGAACAGACCAACTACTAGCAGAGAAATTGAACTGGTAATCAAAAAACTACCTAAGAACAAAACACCTGGACCAGATGGCTTCACTGCTAAATTTTTTCAAACATTTAGTGAAGATCTAATACCCATCCTCCTTAAAGTTTTCCAAAAAGTAGAAGAGGAAGGAATACTTCCAAACTCATTCTATGAGGCCAGTATCACTCTAATACCAAAACCACACAAAGACACCACAAAAAAGAAAATTACAGACCAATATCCCTGATGAACATAGATGCAAAAATACTCAACAAAATAATAGCAAACCAAATTCAAAAATACATCAAAAAGATCATCCATCACAATCAAGTAGGACTTATTTCAGGGATGCAAGGATGGTACAATATTAGAAAATCCATCAACATCATCTACCACATCAATAAGAAGAAGGACAAAAACCACATGATCATCTCCATTTGCTGAAAAAGCATTTGACAAAATTCAACATCCATTCATGATAAAAACTCTCAACAAAATGGGTATAGAGGGCAAGTACCTCAACATAATAAAGGCCATATATGACAAACCCACAGCCAACATCATACTTAACAGTGAAAAGCTGAAAGCCTTTCCTTTAAGATCGGGAACAAGACAAGGATGCCCACTCTCTCCACTTTTATTCAACATAGTTCTGGAGGTCCTCATCATGGCAATCAGACAATGCAAAGAAATAAAAGGCATCCAGACTGGTAAAGAAGAAGTTAAACTGTCACACTGTTTGCAGATGACATGATATTGTACATAAAAAACTCTAAAGAATCCACTCCAAAACTAGTAGATCTAATATCTGAATGTAACAACATTGCAGGGTACAAAATTAATACACAGAAATCTGTTGCCCTCCTATACACTAATGATCAACTAACACTAATGATGAACTATCAGGAAAACAATTCCATTCATAATTGCATCAAAAAGAATAAAATACCTAGGAATAAACCTAACAAAGGAAATGAAAGACCTATACATTGAAAACTACAAGACACTCATGAGAGAAATTAAAGAAGATATCAATAAATGGAAACAAATCCTGTGCTCATGAATAGGAAGAATTAATATTGTCAAAATGGCCATCCTGCCTAAAGCAATCTACAGATTCAATGCAATCCCTATCAAAATACCAAGAGCATTCTTTAACAAACTAGATAAAAAGTTCTAAAATTCATATGGAACCGTAAAAGACCCCGAGTAGCCAAAGGAATCCTGAGAAGGAAGAATAAAGCTGGGAGGATTACGCTCTGACTTCAAACTCTACTACAAAGCAATAGTAATGAAGACAATTTGGTATTGGCACAAGAACAGACCCATAGACCAATGGAACAGACTAGAGAGCCCCAATATAAACCCAAGTATATATGGTCAATTAATACACGATAAAGGAGCCATGGACATACAATTGGGAAATGACAGCCTCTTCAACAACTGGTGTTGGCAAAACTGGACAGCTACATGCAAGAGAATGAAACTGGATCACTGGCTAATCCCATAAACAAAAGTAAACTCGAAATGCATCAAAGACATGAATGTAAGTCATGAAACCATAAAACTCTTAGAAGATGACATAGGCAAAAATCTAAATATAAACATGAGCAACTTTTTTCTGAATACATCTCCTCAAGCAAGAGAAACAAAAGCAAAAATGAACACGAGACTACATCAAACTTAAAAGCTTCTGTACAGCAAAGGATACCATCAGCAGAACAAAAAGGCATTCTACAGTATGGGAGAACATATTTGTAAATGACATAGCCGACAAGGGGTTAACATCCAAAATATATAAAGAACTCACACACCTCAACACCCCAAAAGCAAATAAACTGATTAAAAAATGGGCGGAGCATATGAACAGACAATTCTCCATAGAAGAAATCCAGATGGCTAACAGGCACATGAAAAGATGTTCCACATCACTAATTATCAGGGAAATGTAAATTAAAACTACAATGAGATATCACTTCACACCAGTTAGGATGGCCAGCATTGAAAAGACTAAGAACAACAAATGCTGGCGAGGATGTGGAGAAAGGGGAGCCTTCCTACACTGCTGGTGGGAATGTAAGCTAATTCAATCATTGTGGAAAGCAGTATGGAGGTTCCTCAAAATACTAAAAATAGAAATACAAGTTGACCTGGGAATTCCATTCCTAGGAATTTACCCAAAGAACATAATTTCTCAGATTCAAAAAGACATATGCATCCCTATGTTTATTTCAGCACTATTTACAATAGCTAAGATATGGAAACAACCTAAGTGTCCATCAGTAGATGAATGGATAAAGAAGATGTGGTATATATACACAATGGAATATTATTCAGCCATAAGAAAGAAACAAATCCTACAATTTGAAACAACATGAACAGAGCTAGAGGATATTATGCTCAGTGAACTAAGCCAGGTGGAGAAAGACAAGTGCCAAATGATTTCCCTCATTTGTGGAATATAACAGGAAGCGAAACTGAAGGAAGAAAATAGCAGCAGACTCACAGACTCCAAGAAGGGACTAGCAGTTACCAAAGGGGAGGGTTGGGGGAAGGTGGGTGGAGGGGGAGGGAGAAGGGGATTGAGGGGTATTATGATTGGCACATATGGTGGGGGAATCGGTGGAAGACAGTGTAGCACAGAGAAGGCAATAGTGACTGTGGCATCTTACTACAATGGGCAATGACTGCAATAGGGAACGGGGGGACATGAATACAGGGGTGAATGTAGAAATCACATTGTTTTTTCTTTTTTCTACCATCGTTTTTTCACGTGAAACCGTCATAAGAGTGCATATCAATAATACCTTAATAAAAAAAAAATGGGAGCTACAAGTCTGGAACTATAATAAAACACTCTCTTCATAGACCTGAAGTTGGGGGACCTCTGGTATTGTCTCTCATGGCTTGATACTCATTCACTGATTCATCTGGTATTTACAGAATGCTTGCTATAAGTACAGCACTTTGCTAGGCACTGAGAATGAGAGAAGAAAATTTCAAGAAATGATCCCTGACTTCTACAAATTTAGAAACTAGTTGGCTTATTGTTTGGAGTTTGGGGGCAAAGGTGCAGACATGGTTAAACATTCACAACAACCATATTTTCTTCTAAAATATCTTGGGAAACAGAAAAGAACAGGCTTGAAGGGAAGCTCCCATCTGCTGATCAGTCTCTTTGCCCACAGAGTCCATTAACTAACCTGCAAAGAAAACCATCTAAACCTGTCAAGAAAACCACAAACTGAGATTTCTAATCTAGAGGTGTGGTCTTTATGAGGTCCGTAGATGGACTTCAACTGTCTATGAAACATCCCCTGCAATTAAATGTAAAACAATAACTACGAATATGTGCACTTTTTCTGGAAAGATCTATAGCTTTCATCAGATTCTCAAAGAGGTTTAGAACTACAAACATGCTCCTGCAGCCTTAGGGTATCAGATTAGAGTTCCACCTTAAATTTACTAAACCTCAGGTAGCTACATACTAAATGGACTAAATGACACATACTAAATGATGTGTCCTCAAACATTCATATGCTGACCAGCAGATCATTTCCTCATAATCCTTGGAAAGTTTCATGGAACACCCTGTGGTACAGAGGTTCTTAACCTGGCATCAATAAACTTCCTGAAATTGAATGTATTCAATTCTGTATTTAAGCATATTTTGGAGGGAGGGGCAGAGGTATAGTCTAGAACTTTTGTTAGAACCTCAACTAAGTCTATAACACATATAAGGTGTGTGCAAATCTATTCTAAGTATGGATAGCCTGGATCTGGGACCCTGATTTTGTTATGTTCAACTATCAGAATTCCATAGCAGAAAGATAGGTTAGAATTCCATGTCAGTTCCCTGTAGGGGTCCAGGCCACACCTTTACTCTAACCCTCAACCCTAGAGTCTTTCTTGCCAGACCTGCAATAAGTACTTAGCTGACATTAGCTAGACCATTCGAGACTGCATCTAAATCCTGGAATAGCTTGGAAATCTAAGACAGTGAGCTACAAAAGCAGCTAACTCTCTAACCAGTTACCGAAGACCCATGAAGTCCATAAATGTACATCAGAGGGTTGGTGAACTTTCTAAAACTTTGTGTGCAAAAGTTTTATGTATATCCTTCTCAGGAAAGCTTTCATCAGATATCAGATCATGATAAGTCTAAATCTACTACCCCTCTACCCCCCACAATAAAGGCTGAGAACCCTAGACTCAGGGCATAAACAGTCCTCACTGGATCTACTGGTCCCACCAACACAGCCCAGGGAACTCTGGACAGGCAGGAAGGCTCCCTGGAGACAGGTCACTGACCTTTGTACGGGGTACAATGTTGAGTTCCAGTTTTTGGTCCACCAGGCTGGCCCCTGCTTCTGAGAGATAGCCCTGGTTGAGGACAAGGCAGTCACGGCCAAAGCAGCAGGGACAGCACAGCTTCTGCAGCCACTTGGTCCACTTAGGATTAAGGTGTCCATATGGCTCTTCATTCTTGGGTTTGAAGACAGCAATGATCTTCTACACAGACAAAAGAAAAGGAAGATTTAAAGGCAAGTTGACTGAAGGAGCTAGCTCCCAGACCTGGTCAGCAGGAATCTAGAAAATGACAGGGCCCAGGCAGACAATCTCTCCTTACAGTTGGGCATTGGTTTCTCCCCAGCTTATAAGGGGAACATACAGCTCAAGTGTGCAGTTAAGACCTACTGCCAAAGAGGGCTGGGGCCAAAGAAAGTGCCAAGTCTATATGGTGCAACAGATTTTAACACCATCAAACCCCAACTTCCAAGGTACATTCATATACTGTTTGTTGCCTGCTTTAGTTATGTAAAGACTTATAAAAGTATTGATTGAAAGGAAATTAACAAGGTATTATGGAATAAGGTTAAGAAAATTCCTTCATGAATAGCTGATTTCCTCTAAGAGCCTTACTATCCCCCCATAGGCCACAAAGGTTAAAATCCATCATCTCCAGCAGACAGTAACTTAATTTCTCAAAGGTCCCTGGAAATATGGGATGCTGTAGCATGTAAACACTGTGGCCTTTGCTCTTGAAGGGCTCTTCCTCAGGCCAGTCAGCCCTCTGAAGTTGTTTTACATCTATCTCATTCCCTCCAGTCCCAAAACTGGCACTTTCAAAGAAAGAAAAGTAAATATGCTAACTAAGTGATTCATGTTCATATCATATGACTTTCCCTCTCCCCTAACCCCACAGCCAACTCAAGCTAGTCAGGGTTATAAGACATTTTCCTGTGGGTGTCACTTCCTGAAAGACAAGTCACAGCAGAAAACACACACCCACTTGCCTGCTAAGTACTCATATTAGGAATTGGCTACGTGTTTGTCTCCAACAATAATTGGTCAATCTTGAGGCCAGTTCCTTCAAGAAGCCTTGCAAGGATTTGAGAGAGCAAGAGTAGTACAGAAGTTTCCTCCTCCCTCCAAAAGAATCCATTTATTCTTAAAGACGGACAAATTTACTTACTCACTGGAAAAAGTCAAATGCATGTATTCTTATCAAAAGTCTTCAGTCTTTCTTTTCCAAAGTGCTAACAAGAGGCCTGTTAGCAATCTTCTTCTCTATCTCTGTAGTTCTGGAACCCTAGGCTCTGAACCACACAGCAGCAGCAGCAAGGGGCTTGTCCCTCAGAGAATGACTGGTGAGTCCACTAACTCTCTGGAACCTGGGCAGTGAGGCCACAGGACAAGCTGAGGCTCGTCCCAGAACCCGACAGTTCAACTGAGGTCCAATGTGCCGTTCAGCAAGCTGGTCCTCAGTAAAAGGAAGACAAGCACATTGTCTATTGGGGGGGTGGGTGCTGAAAACTACCAGGGTTAAGGCTCAGATACTCCACTTAAAGAAAGTGGAACCTGAAGGCCTAGACTGCAGCCAAGCAGCATTTGCAGACTGACCTCTCAAACTTCTCAGTCTCCTTCCACCGTGAGGAGGGTCAGAAAGAATTCTGACACTAAAAGCATTAGTAATCATGGTTATCTCAGTATTACAAGGGTTTCATTAAACAATAACATCTAGACTGGACAAATGGCAGAATGGTAGAGCAGGAAGGAAGAAGGAACAGAAGAATATTCAGAATGGAAGGGGAGCCTTTCAGGACAGAGTGTCGGCTCAATTCAATTCTTAACATTTGCTCAGTACCCAGCTTGTGTAAGACAGCGTGTGAGTATCTGTGGTTTCCCAGACAGGTACACAAAGCAGCCTCTGGCCTAATTTCCAAAGCTAATGTTAACTTCACATAATCAACTGTGTTATTGAATACTCTCCTAATTCACAGAAAACAAACTGTAAAACCACTCAAATTAGAAAGATACCCACCATTATTTGGTGAAAAGGAAAATAACTACTGCCTGCTTTTTCTCACCATTCTTCCTCAATATATTTTCAATTCTTTATTACCTTTGGGAGAAAGCTTCAGTTTGATACCAATAATTTTAGAACACCATTCCTTAACACCCACTTATTAACCCCTTTTTCACAAAGTGGGTGAGGAATGGCTTGCTTAAGTAGCTGCAGTCCATCATCTCAGAGATAAAAACAGAACTGCGCAAGGAAGTAAGAAGCCACTAACTGGCTGATGTCAGGACCCACGACTAATTAGTGGACCCTGGACCTAAAGGGGTTCCTACATCTATCCAGCAGCCCCAAGGAAGAGGTTACTATGCTATGCTAAAATCTAAGACCAGCTCAAGCACATCACTCATATCGTACAGTGAAATATAAAGAAATAACTTTAAATAAGTTTTTTATAAAGTTTGGTAAACGTGAAGTAGAATGTCCTCAATTTTTTGGTCTCGAGAATCCTTTAAACTCTTAAAAATTATTAAAAACCCCCAGAGCTTTTGTTTATGTGGGTAAGATTATTTGCTGTATTAGAAATTAAAATGTAAACATTTAGACTATTTATTAAATCACTTAATAAAAACAAACCTATTATATGTTAACATAAGTGACATGTTTTTATGAAAAATAACTATATTTTCAAAAATTCTTTTTTGTGAGAAGACTGACAATGATTCATTTTTGCAACTCTCTCTCATGTCTGGGTTAATAAGAGACAACTGTATTCTCACATCTTCCTTAATACTGTTTCAATATCACACATCATGCAGCCTCTGGAAATCTCTACTGTACATTCATAAGGAAATGAGAGTAAAAAAGCCAAATACAGTTTTAAAGTTATTATCAAAATTTTGATCTGTGAACTCCTTAAGGATTGCTAGTGGTCCTTGGGCCACACTCTTTGAGAACTGCTTTACTCTTTATTAGAGACTGGATGGAAAGAACACTCCTAGGCTTAGTTATTTAGGTGGAGAAGCCTTATTTACATGTTAAATCTTACAAAGGAGAGGGATGGGCTACTCCAAACAGATGAGTCCCTGAAAGAAGACGGGATCCAAATAGAATACAGTGACACTGACCCAACCTGCCTCATCCATTGCACCTTGCAGCTTGGGACAACTCCATAACAGCAGGTAGATGATATTTAAAAATCTCATGAACTATATCTATATATGATATACAAACTTGACTACCTCTTAACATTTTAGTTAAGAAAATTATGTTTGTCATTTGCTTATCAGTGTTCTCCACCAGGTGTGAGGACATCAGAATTTCTTGGAGAGCATAGGTGGTTGGAAGAAGCACATTCAGTATTATAACATACCTTATATTTGAAAAGTGGAAAAAATATTGCACTGTTTTCATGACAAATGCTTGGTGGATAAAGTATTTTTAAAAGGTTAAAAATGACTGATATACAACCAAGTTTCTAGAACATGTGAGCAGTAGTTGTAAAATTTTAAAGCAAATGCCAATTGGCTTTAGATCTAATGAATTACTATTCTCAGTGATCATGAAAACATCTTCCCCAAATTATACTATTTTTGCCTTATCCAGTGCCATGTATCCAAGAGAGCCTAACCCAGAGGCAGGCATATAACTTAAAACATTCTGAGCTCCCACTAAGCACCAGGAACTATGCCAGGGGCTCTCATGTACACTATCTCACTCTATCCTCTGAATAAACTAGTGAATCACACGCTATTCTATGATTCTTGGCAAAATGAACATTTAGTATTACTGGCCTCACAAAAAAGAATATGCTCAAAAAATATTTTTGTAGGTGATTAAACATGAGGCCTGAAGCTCAAGAATATAAGTAAGGGTAATATGAGCACTCTACCCTGCCTTCTCATCTCGCATTTTCCATCCTAATGTTCTAGGTCCCCACTGCTTGCCCTGAGGAAGAGACCATCCTAAGTTGGGAAATGAAATTAGGGCTGTTACCTTCAAGAACCTTTCAGGAAAAAGGGGCATTACAATTAGCACACATAATGTGGCGGGGGTGGGGAGGGGTGCACAGGGAAGGCAGTTATAGCACAAAGACGACAAGTAGTGATTCTATAGCATCTTACTATGCTGATGGACAGTGACTGTAGTGGGGTATGTGGTGGGGACTTGATAATGGGGGGAGTCTAGTAACCATAATGTTGCTCATGTAATTGTACATTAATGATACCAAAATAAAAAAATAAAATAAAATAAAATAGGTAAAAAAAGAACCTTTCAGGGTGTTTAGTTCCAAAAGTAGCAGTGCCCCCAATCTCTCTTACCATTTATGCCTTGGACACAGGACCCTTGATTTTTAGTTGGACAAAATTAAGACTATAGTTCCCAGACACTACTGCAGTTAAGTTCTGGACAATAGGATGTAAGGAGAAAAGTCTGGTGCAACTTCTAGGAATTGTCTTAAAGGAAGGCATACTCTCCTTCTCCTTTCCTTCTTCCAACTGGCTGAAAAGCAGACAAGATGTTTAAAGTTTGAGTAGCCATCTCAGACCATGAAGTGGAAGCCACATGCTAGAGATGGCTGATCAGCTGGATTAGAAGGGTGCGTATTCACACTGCATCCCTGAAAAAATGAAATGCCATGCCAGCCCTGAGCAGCCAGTAGACTTTCGTAAGAGTTACCTGTCATTATTCAAGTCACTATTATTTTAAATTTTCTGCCATACATAGCCAACTTTAGTCCTAACCAACATGGTAGCTGAAAAGAGAAACCAGAAATTCATATGACTAATGAGCTCTTAGGCAGCAGAGCCTAGTAGAAACATGAACTCTGGAGCCAGTCTGCCTGGGTCTGAGTCCTACCTCCCAACTACTAGCTGTGAGAGCAACTTAGTTAAACTGTGCACCTCACTGTTGTCATCTGCAGGGAAAATAATAATACCTACCTCCAAAGGTGTTAGGAGTATTAAATCATTATTTATAAAGCACTTCAAATTGTACCTAATGAATAGTAAATGCTATCTAAGTATTTGTTAAGTAAAATAATAAACACATTTAGAGCAGAGCCAAAGATGACAGGACCAACTACAGTGAGCCTGTGGTCCCGTACAACACACCACAGCATTTGGGAAGCAGTCCTGCTTTGAAGCACATTTTCCTCCATGGGAGCAGGATGGTTACATTAGTAAGTTTTGTGAGGGCATATGTGTTTTGACTTACCCTCTAAGAAAGGACTGTGGCCAGGCAAAGTTAGAGACTAGGATCCTGCAAATCACCAAGAAACATACCTCTAGACTGTCATTCTCTGTGGCTATGTACAGAGGTGGTAGTACTTAACCTGCAAGGTAGAACTGAGAGACCATATTACTCCCATCTGTCAGCGCACCAGATCACTTCTCAGCTGACATGACACACTTCCAACAGAGCTGTGACATCATGAAAGAAAAACAGAAACCTTCCTCCTGTTCCTGTACCTATCAAAGATAATCTTAGCCCCCTCTTCTATCAACCAACAAGCTAAAAAAATAAAAAACATATTAAAAATCTTTAAAAATAAAAAAACCCACTCATATCTTAGATCTCATTCTGGTTCCCAAATAGAAAAGATCAAAGCATTTTGCTAACATTTAGACCTCAAGACCCACACCTTTCTTTTCTTCTGTAAGTGATGGCTGCCCTTTGCACTTTCAATTTAACTCACTGTTTGGAGTTGGAAGACTTGGAAAGACTTATAACTCTCAAAGCTTTCCCCAACTTAGTTAACTGAGTTGGTGGCAGAATTGCTTTCAGGTTTTTATAATAATTCAGGAACAATGACATCTAAGAAAATAACATTCAATGAACCTAACCAATAGCTACAAGTCAAAGTTCATCCTGGCCACTTGGCACTCCTGTCAAAACAGCACACTACCCACCTAAAGAGTTCACACAGGAGAGACGCAGGGAAAATCTGAGGGAGTTTTGATGCCCAAGATGTTAATAAGTGTAACAATAATAGATTTTTCCAATAAGCCATTCTGGCCCATCTGACAATTGTTCACAGGGAAGACTTAGTATTTTCTGACCCTCTGGTTGGATCTAGATAACTTAAATTCGTCTGCAGTTTCAAAAGAATAAAGGTCACCTCTCAGATGCCTTGGAAACTCTGTGCCCTAATCCCATCCCATCCCCATCCCCCTTTATACACATGCAAGGGACAAAATAAAGGTCAGTTGACACTCTGCCTTAGCTAAAAAGCAAACTGCTGATAGTCTTGGGAGAGAAATGAAAGTAAAAGGTACAGGCTGTCCCATGTTTTTTAAACTCCACATTATAATCTGAGAAACAATAAAAAAGGATTTGAACTATTTCCCAGAAGAGAGCAAAAACCTGGTGAGTCCATCCTATCACCAATGTCTGCCATTAGGAGACCTGGGACAGTGGCAGGAGACAGCCCCACAATAAAGAAAGCTGGAACTGAACCCTCAGGGCCCCTGCTGGATCACCAGTCCTCCTCAACGAAGAGCAACAACATTGGTTCGATGCAAAAAGAAAGAACGGGTCCAAGGCTCAAATCTGTAGTTCAATGGCCAAAGAGCAGTCTCTGTAGTTTAAAGCTAAGGAACCTACTAGAAAGAAGCATCTCACCGCGCGTCTCTGTTCAGAGGCCGATTGCCCCACCACTCAGATCGGCCCCTTGCGTTTATCTGGTCAATTTCCTCTTTTCAATTTCTGCTCACTCCTCCCCCACCAAATAAGTTCTGATTTATTTCTTCATTCCGCAGAGATTCTCCATCTCCAGTCCTCAGCGGCATTCCAAAACCCTGCCAAGGGACTCCGCACTGTGAAGTTTCTCCCTTTTGCAGCCTTTCAACCTACCTTCTCTCTCTGGCTGTGCGAAGCCCCAAACTGCCCCGACAGACCCACCTTCCCCGGAGCCTGCGGCCGCGGTCCCCACCCATCTCTCACCCCCTGAGGGTCTTTGACGAAGTAGCTGCCGCTGGAGCCCTGGTAGATGCGCTCCGGGAAGATGCAGCGCTCAATAGCCAGCTCCGCCTGCCGCACCACTGCCTCGAACTCGGGGTCCTCCGGGAACTCGTTCCGCTCGCGGTGGGCCTGCGCAGCGTGCGCAGCCGCCGCGGCCTGGGCGGCCAGGGCTTGGGCCTGCGCCGCCACGGTTTGGGTCTGGCACTGGGCCGCCGCACCCCGGGCCCGATCCAGCAGTGGCTGTCGCTCCCGGTCGTGGCCCGGAGAGCCTGGCGGAGAGGGGGCCGGGCCGGCCGCCGCAGCCACTCGGACGGCGCCCCCCGGCACCTGCGGAAAGTGAACGACCGAGCCAGACGGGAAGGTGTAGTCCTGGGGTTGAGCCCGCTCAGGGGAAACTAGTGGGCTCGTCTCGTCCATCCCTCAGGCAGCCGGCTCCTGGACCCGGTGAGCTCCACAAAGCTGCTTGCAGCCGGGACCAATCCGCGACACCCCCACCCCCGCCTGGCCAACCAGGTCGCGGTACCTCTTTAGCCCCGCCCCTACCTTGCCTGTTTACTTGGCGACGAATAAGTACGACCCCTGGCGCGCCAACGGTAGCCAATCAAAATCAGCGCCTACGCAATCGCTCGCCCTCCGCATTTTTCGCGTCACCTTCTGTGAAGACTGCGCATGCTCCAGGAGCCAAACCAGGGTCAGACACGCCTTCTGTTCCAACCAGTTTAGCTCCGCCCTTAACTTCCAGCTCCTGACAGGTCTCTGGGAGCTTTCGATAACGTAACCTACCGAGTGAGTCACTCATTTGAGTGCGTACTGTGAACTAGCTGTGAGACTAGAAAAATCTAATCTTTTTATTTGTATTCAATCATGCCCTTAGTCATTAAATATTCACTGAGCACCTACTGTGTTCTAAGTGCTAGAGAGACAAAAGTGAAGCAAAGAAACAAAAATCTCTGATCTACCTAAATAAAAAGTTTTTTTCAAGTCCCAGCCATCACGCAGCTTACACAGTGCCTGGCCCAATGCTCATTGCTTTTTATTAAGTACAATTTATTTTTATTTGTTAATTGAAGTAAGATATTGTTCCATTAGACTAAAAAGTTCCATGAGAGAGTCCGTGACTGTTTTATTCACCACTCTAAAACCTCAGTACTTAGACACAATGGGTGCTCGGTACATTTTAATCAGTGGAATAGAGAAGGAAGATACAGTCCCTGCCCTCAGGCTTAAAACACACAGTCCTCTGAGGCAGTAAAAGAAAAAGAGCCAACGAAAGCCGAAAAAACCGTAATAGGAGTTCAGCGATTTTGGGGTAGGCTAGAGAGTCAGCAAAGGCCAAGTGGGGTTTGTGCTCTGAGCTGTCTTAGAGGAAGAATGTAATTAGATCACTGGGGTTGCGGGGGTGGGGGGGTATAAAAAGGGAATCAGATGTTTGAGTTTGAACCCCAGCCCCACACTTACTATTTTGTACACGTTACTTAACTCTCCAAGCCTTTTCTGTTATCTATAAAATTGAAATAATCGTCCCTTCCTCAAGTGATTAAGAATCAGATAATGTATGTAAAGCAATTAGCATAGTGCTTAGTAAAAAAGCACTCAACAAAACGTAGCTTTTTATAACTGGGGTGGTTTTCCGTTTTTAGTTTTGTGCTTAAAGCAACCAGCAAACTAGAGAATGGGTTTTCACAAAAGATGACCAGCCACATAGTAACCAATATTTCATAATCATTCTTTACTGAATCCAATTATTGCTACAGCTAACTATCAGTACTGAATTGAAAGAACAATTGTTTAATTGTATTATGGGAGTGTCTTTAACTTTTTCTTTGCCAAATAAACCATCCTAGGCATAGGTCCAAACAGATGGTTCAATTTCCCCTTTAAGTTACAAGACATGTATTTCCCTTTCCAATAGAAACATCAAAGTAATTAAGCAATATTTGCCTCTTATGTCCCAGGGGCCATATCCACAGAGATCTCTTAGTATTCATCTCATTTAGCCCCAAAACTTCATTATGGTTAAGAAAAGCTCCAAGGTTCAGAGTTCTCCCTTGAATTCTGAGTTTTTTCTCTGGAAAACCCTCAGAATTTATTTATGTATCTACCTCTTAGAACTTGATTTTCTTTTTACTGAAGAGAGAGTCAATACATTCCCTATTACCTATGAAGAGCTAGCACTTTACCAAATGCTAAGCATATGCGGATGCTGTTTTAAGTGCATCATGTGGATTAAGTCACATATCTGGTATTAGAGCCCCTATGATGTTGGAAACTGAGTAGCTTGTCTATGGTCATGCAGTCAGTTACTAGCATAGCTGGATTCAAATCCAGAAAAACTAGCTCCATGCTTTTAACACTATATCGCTTCTTATTACACATCTCTATGAACTGTGCCTCATATTTACCCCCCTTCTTTCCATCTTCACTGATACCACTTTAGCTTTGAGACTTAGCAATACTATTACAGTAGCTTCTGAGTTTGCTTCTCTTCTTTTAATCTCTCTCTGATCACCTGGTGGTATCATTGCCAGATAAATTTTCTTAAAACACTGGTTTCATTGTGTCACTGCTCTGATAAAGAAAATTTCATTTTTCTTCTGGTAAAATGTACATAATATATATTATTTTAATCATTCATAAATATACGATTTGGTAGCATTAAATACATTCACAATATTACATAACTATCACCACTATCTATACCCAAAACTTTTTCATAATCTCAACAAAAACCCTGTACCATTAAACAGTAACTCCTCCTTCTCCTAACTGCTGGTAATCTCTATTCTACTTCCAGTGTCTGTAAATTTGCCTCTTGAAGCTAAATTTTGCAAACTGTATCTTCTCCCTAATTTTTCAGGCCTCTCCATAATTTGACCACAAATGTATTTAACCTTATTTCTTCATATTTTCTAATACACATTCTCCAATTTAATAAAACCTGTTTTCTTGACCCTCCATTCTCTCAACTACTTTAACTATATCTTTAGTCAATACCACACCGCTTAGCATGTTTAACCATTTAATGTTAGAGCTGGACTTAATTTCATAGATCTGCTAGTCCAATCTCATTTCACAGGCTACCGAACTTGACAGCCTTGTTTGAAGCCACACACGATTGGTGGCAGAAATGAGACTTGAACACAGAATTTAAAGCAATTTAAAACTACTGTGTATTGATTATTTGCAATGTCTCAGACACAATACTGAGCATTTTACATTGTATTCTCATACAAGTCCTGGGAACTCTTTTATTATTATTATGATAACTTTATGTTCTCGAGATGATGAAATCCCAATTCAGGGAAGCAATTTGCTTACTCTTTTCTTGTGCTCACCTTCTCTTCAGGTGAACGAACCTTTTCTTTTCCATATCTAGGCAGTAAGTCCTACGAGGGCAGTGACCATGTCTTTTCTAGCCTAGTACCATGCTGCATTCACATTGTTTAGTAAATAGGCATATGGATAAACGGACGGGTTTACATGGCATTTGGCAGGATTTGCTCCAACCTTGGCACTATATTTTAAACACAAAGGATCTGATTAGTGACAACAATAACACAAATCCCTACAATTGATTCAAAAGTGTCCCGGTATCACACTGCTGGCATGGTACTGACACTCAGTAAACTGCAGCTGTGGGTCTATCGCATTACAATTTACAAAGCTGCACCTTCAAAGCCAGATTTAGGCTCTGTCCTTAAACTCCGGGGAGGGGTCTAGAACTGTGGAGATCCGAGCAGGAGGAGCTGCTTGGGTTGGTGGTCACTCTTGCTTCTGGCGCAGGGCCCGTTTTACTTTGTATAGGTCTGACATTTCGACTAGGCTGTCTCTGGGTACGCGAGACGTGACTTCTCCAACAGGGCTGCGGAGATGCGACCACGGGTTCACCCCCACCCTTCTGTCGGTTATTTGGCGCGCGACTCTGGAGCCGCTCTGCCCCGCACAAAGATGGAGCCGAGTCCGGGCTGGGCCAGTGGAGAGTGGCGGTGCTCCCGGTTGCCTAGGTAACAGCCAATAGGCAGCGGGAATTGTGCCGGGTGCGGCTGCCCGGGATGGTGGGGTTACATGGGGTCGGCACCGGCGGAGGTGGTTGGGGGGAGGCAGGCGGCGGGGACGTGCCGGGCAGAGCGGAGGTCCGGGCCACCGGGGTCCTGCGTCGGGGCGTGACGGCCATCCCGGAAGGCGGAGCCCAGGTTGGCCGGCAGTGCGGATGGGAGGGTCCGCAGAGTGGTCAGCGAGGAAGGGGCTGATCCACCCCGACCCGCGGACCGGAGGGCGGCTGTCGGTGGGGTCTGAAGCCGGGTCCCCAGTCTCCAGAGTTGGGGCGGAGGCACTCGGGTTAGCAAGCGGGGTGGGAGGGGACTGGGCCAGTAGCGGATGGCAGACCGGTGTGAGCGGAAGACCCGTCCCGGCCGGAGAGCCGACCTGGAGCAGAGGGAAGGAGTGGGGCAGGCATGCCGGAACGCGGAGGGAGAAGGAATGGGGAGGTCGGCAAGGAAATGTTGCCTTGTTGCGGTCCAGGGCTTTGTTTGCTCTGGGCCCGCCTCTCACATTCCGGAGGAGGCTTGGGGAATGGGATGCCTCCATTCGTTTCTGGTGGCCTCCCTGCAGTCTAGCATCTCCAAACTAACTGGTATCATCTGATACCAGCTGGCACCATCTGAGTAACGAGGCTGCACTAGTACGTGGCCCAGGCATTTTCCTTCCGCATGAAATAGAATAGTATCCTGGCAGTCCCCGTCACCCCAAGTTGTCTTTTTTTTCTTCTTCTTTCTGGTATCAGGATGTTCTCCCCAATTTCCTCAACCTAACTGACCCCCAGTCTTCCCAAATAAGATCTTTAGTAGTGATATATTTGTTTACTTTTCAAGTCGAAGGCTTACAGTAAAGACAGACATAATAAAAACAGTTATTTCAGCCATTTAAAACACTTTAAAAAGAGAGTTTGAGTTTTTGTTCTAGGTTTCTTACAAACCTAATGTTTGTTCACTGCTTTCTTCATAACCTAAAGAACTTTACTAAGATGTCATACCCTGGGGGGAGGGGCTCTTAAGAGGGACATGTGAAGGTATATGTGGGTAAAGGTGGCTGCCTTCAAATTGTATTCTTAAACTGGAAATCTATTCCCCTTTAAATTAGTTTTTTTTTAATCCTCTGGATTTGGGTACAGGTTTCTGTGAATGCATGAATATTTTTTAACAAGTTTGAGTTCTAAAATTAAAAAAAAGACAAACAGAATGGAAACAAAAGTTACCATTTCTGGAAATGTCTGGGTCAGGAGAAAATAAAAATAGCAGGGATATAGTCTGTTGTGCAGACTAATAGTGTATTAGTTTATAGGGACGAAACAGTCATTCTCTTTTAGATAATGTCTGCATTGATCCATTGCAACCCATCTATCAAGAGAGGAGAAAGGGTGGGTAAATCTCTTTCGAAGCATGAATCTTGGTTTTGTGACTAGAATCCATATGTATAGCTAAAGCCTAAACTCCTAGGTCATCTCTTCTCTTGAAAAAGCTCTTTGAATAACCAATACAAACACTGATTTGCATCCTTATTAAAATATTGGGTTTTCAATCTTCATCAGCACTGGCTGTCCTGTAGCACTGGCTAATTACAGAAGTCATAAATGAAAATCCTGACACAGTTCCAGGCAATGATAATCTCGATTATTTGAACATGGACTCTACATGTGTTCCCTTTAATTTGCACTTCTGATTGTGTTCTTGGGAATGGACATCATTTTGACAACTGTTGAAGGGAGTTTGCTATATCTCCCTAGATCAAAAAGGGATGGAAATTTGTAGTATGTACTTTTGAAAACAAATTGGAGAAGAGGATGGTTGGCAGGGTAGGTGGAGAGATGACGTTTTGGTTACTATTGTTGTGTAACAAATTACCCCAAACCTAGCTACTTTGAACAACCATATGATGCTCACAGATTCTGTGAGTCAGGAATTTGGACAGGGATGACCTCTGTCTGCTCCATGATACCTCTGATGGGATCTAGATGCTGGGGGCAGGAATCATCTGAAGGCTCCTTTGCTCACATGTAGTGCCTAGGCTAGGATGATTCAAAGATGACGACTGCCAACTGAAGCATCAACACATTTGGCTGGCTGTGTGGCTTGGCTTCCTCACAGCATGGTAGCTTCAGGGTAGTCAGACTTATAATGTGGTGGCTCAGGTCTCCAAGCACAAGCATACCATAAAACATACCATCACGTTTTATGATTTAACCTCAGAACTCACCATTGCTTCCATCATGTTCTATTGGTTGAAGCAATCAAAAGCCTTCCCAGATTCAAAGGAGAGAGTTGGACTTGACCTTTTTATGAGGAAGTGGACATAGAAGAACATGTGAGACAGGAGATATGGTTACAGATGTCTTTGAAAAATACAGTCTGTCACATTTGGTAATAAGATAATCTTTCAAACTGCCTTGGCTTCTTTGAAATATTTAAAGAAATATTCCCCAAGAGCTAAGAACATACCTAAAGAGTACCTAGATTTACAGTTTGGGGGGCTGGCTAGTACTTTGTCCAATGATAGTCCTCAGCCTGGAGAAACACTGTATTCAGGGACCTCCTACCGGCCTCTCTGAAACAAGGTGGGATGCCACTATGTGGAAGTTTCATGTAGCCTTGAGAAAAAGTCAGCAAGTACAAGAGTCTGCTGTGCCCTTAAATTGACTCTTCGAATTGTACTGCAATAACTCCTTCCAAAGATTTGAATGAAGACAAATTAACTGCTGCCAAACATTTAAAGAAAATGCCCTCATCTTCTTTCTGTGTAAATAATTAATTTGTTTTTATGTTTTGGAATGTTGTTTAGTTACAAGATTTATTAGAAGATACAGCCCTTCAGCTTCTGGCTTCTTTGAAAGAATGAAATGCTCTGGATGTGCATAAGCTGACATTTTAGTACTTCGACTTCATTAGTTTGGAGAGGAGCTGAAGATGACCTCTAGTTATCAAAATGCCTATCTGAACTGGAAAGAGTTTTCATCTGCAGTTTTGGTGGAAAACTGTTTCTTTTCCTCTCATTAATGTTGTATCTGCAAGGGAGTCATGTTGACCTTCACCTCAGGAACACTCTGACACTGGGCTGACAAGAGGACGCTTGTGATCCTCAATTGGATGCTGACCTAGTAGAACAGAACTGGCACACCAAGTGCCTTGTTCAGTGATCTCTCTGAGAAAATAGCCCCCAGTGGTTCTGAGGGGCTTTAAGACAAGAAGAAACTGATCCTTATCTCGGGATATCTTCTAAGTTAGAGACCCTGGACATAGGGTCTGTGTAACTGGAAAAGAGAAAATCCCTGGTGGACCTATGGGAGTGACTCTCGGACATCATTGGAAGAGCTTCCACCAAGCTGGCCTTCAGTATGGGGCAGAAGTGAATGTTTCTCCATGTTTGAGTGAGAGCACAGGGACTATCAGAACTCATCTGCCCTCGTAGCTGGGATGAAACCAGAGCTTTGAGATACGGCCAGGGCCTAGAAGATGTGAGCACTGCTCTGTTCAGGCCAGGCTGTTTTCACATCAGACCATTGCTGGGCTCGCACCATCTGTATCAAAAATCATCAGGCCAAAATTAATATATCCCAGAGCATGTTGGTAAAGAACAGATGAATGACAACTGTAGTTTGCTTTTCCTCTTAGAAGTTACCCTCATTAGTAAAAGTTGCTGATTTTTTTTTCAAAATGTGAATGATGTGGGTAGCATTTTAATACTGAGATTTACATTATAGTAAGTGGATGTGTGAGTTTAGGTGTCTCTTTTTGAAGGAGGAAAAGAATATTTAATGGACAGGGCCAGGCAGTATTCTAGGTAGTTTCATATATGTTATTTAATTTAATTCACATACCAATTCTGTGAAGTAGGTATATAATCTCCATTTTAAAGAGGAGGAGCCTGAGGTTTAGAGATGCTTAAGTAATTTACTCAAGGTCACAAAATGAACCAGGATCTGACCCCAGGTCTTTGTGCTCCCAGGGTCCACAGCACCACTGTATTGTACTGGGAGACAAGACAGGATAGGATAGGATAGTGTTTCAGAGAATGGGCCCCAGAGGCCAACTACCGGGGTTCTCTTTCTAACTTGTACATGTTAGCTGGGTGACCTTAAGTTAATTTACTTCACCCTCGGTGCACCTCAGTTTTGTCATCTGAAAAGTGACAATAATAATACACACCTCATAAAGTTGTGAGAGATGAGATTGGATGATATATTTAAAAGACACTTAGGCCACACAATAAGTAGTCAATAAATGTTAGTTGCTAATCATCTTACTATGCTGATGGACAGTGACTGTAATGGGGTATGTGGTGGGAACTTGAGAATGGGGGGAATCTAGTAACCACAATGTTGCTCATGTAATTGTATATTAATGATACCAAAAAAAAATGTTAGTTGCTATTATAAAGGTATTTCAAATAGCTTCTCTGGAATTAGCTCAGCTGATTATAGAGGGTTGTGTTAGCTGACCTAGAATATAAATAACCCAGCCCTGTCCTCCACCACAATTGGGGAAAACAAACTTAATGTAGGTCTTATTTCAGCTGAACTTTCAAAGCATCATTTTTGTATAAAATATGCCAGATCTCTTTTTTTACTTTTGAACCCACATCTTGGTTTTCTGTAATGGAGACATCAGTACAACCTGTAACATTGTGTGTGATTTGGGCTTCTCTGGGACTTGAAGTAAAAGGGAGCTAGCCATTGGCACCAGGTCCACAGAGATTTAAAAATCCACTACTCTTTTGTCCTCCAGGTCTGGCCCCAGCTCTCTGAAGAAGAGGTGCACTGGGCCTGTTGGAACTCAGTCACATCTGAGGGTCGGACTCTAGGTAAATTATTTGTAACAGGGGACCTTTCAATGGTGATTTATAGGTCAGAGAACTTTTCACACACAGTATATCCATTTATTGGAGTAGTAGTCCACAAACTTTCCAGTATGTAAGAACCAATAGGCTTGCTAAAACTACAGACTCAAGCTGTAACTGTACAGAATTTGATTCAGTAGGTCCGGTTAACACTATATTGCTTAGATCTGGAAAAGAGAAGGGAATGAGTAAAAAGGCCTAGGGAATTTAAAAAACTAGGGATTGCATTTTTAAATATGCCATATGATTCTATTTGTCTCTGTTTATATTTAATGATATTTTGAGTATCTTAACTGCCTTCTTACAGGAAATGCTTGAATAGAAGCATTCTTTTACTACTCATGTGAAGCCACACCTAGCCAATCTCCAAATGGTACTGGGTTGTTGGTTTTTTTCTGTGATGTATCTGTTATAGTCATTCCTTCTGATCCCATTACAATTCAGCTCTACCCTCTTATTCCCCCAGTTCAGGCCTTATGAGCTCATACTTGGCCTCGGTTAGCTTTTGCTGAGCTAGTAACACCACACCCCAAAATGTCATGACTTAAAACAACAGCCATTGATTTAGTCCTTGATTCTGAAGTTCTCTGATTTGTGGCTGGGCTCAGAAGGGCAGCTTTTCTGGTCTTGCCTGAGCTTACCCATACATCTGTGGTTAGCTGGGACAGCTGCTCCAAGTGGCCTCTCATCACCTGGCAGCCTAGCCTGGGCTCACTCAGTGGGGCAGGACAGGGCCAAGTGCAGCAGGAGTGCAACCCCAGTGTAGACGCTTTTTTAGACCTCTACTACATAACCTTTTTCTAACGTTCCATTAGCGAAAGCAAGTCATAGAACTCACCCAGACCCAGTGGATGGAGGAATCAACTTACTGCCTGCCTCTTAATGCAAGATCTACCATGTCACATTGAAAGAGCAAGAACAGAGGGAGAAAACTTTGTGCTCATTTTCACGGTCTACTGAATTATCCTGTCTCTTCCTTGCAAGCTTTTCTGGCTGCAGGCTTTTGCTGTTCCAACCAATCCTGCTTCCTGCTGTCACATTCATTTTCCTTAAATACTTTTCATATTACATCCCTGTTCAAAAACACCTAGAGTCTTCCTTTTTTCCCCACCTTGCCAGCTATAAACTCTTCTGCCTAGCGTCAGAGGTCTCCTTAAACTAGCCTGACTCTAAAAGCAGAGCATATAGTACCGGGAGAAAACAACCAGCAGCAATCAAGGGAGGCTTGGGCACTAGGTCCCGCTTGGTCAGACTAGCTTTTAACTTCTCTGGGCTTCCTATTCTCCATCTATAAAATGAGGGAGTTTGGATTAAATCTGAAAGGTATTTTTCAGAATCAAGATTCAGGCTGAGTGTACCTACACCAGTTTATTTCCATTCACTCCCTAAATAAACTTTCAACCCTATTAAGACCTAGTTTCTTGTTTTCCTACTGGACATCCACACTTGGGTTGCTCTTTGTGCTTTCATTCCCTGCATTTTCTCAATCCAGAATTGCCCTTTGCTTTCTGTACTGTTTGCTTTAAATTCTGCCTGTCCCTTGTCTTTGTTAATCTCTGCCATTCAACTTGACACTTTATTATCTCTTACATTATTCAGTATCTCAGTTGGTAGTCTTATTGACCAGCTTATAAACTCATCGAAACTGTATCTTATACATCAACTCAGGACATCATAGGTGTCAAGCAAATATATGTAGATTAATCCTAAATTTCCATCCTAGAAATTTAGAAAATTGGAACTGGTTGATAACTTTTAAAACAAGGAGGATAAAACTGCTGGAGCAGAGATGGTGATGGTGGTGTAGGTGTTTTGAGGGTGAGTATTTTTGTTACATGGATCCAAAGTAGTAGATACAGGGCTGGTAGCCTGTAGAATGTATCTGTCAAATTGCTTTGCAGGCCTTTCCTCCAGCCATCCTATGACACTGGTTCTCCTCCTCTGCTTGTTTCCTGCAGCTTTTATCCTGTTCTTCTGTAACCTGTCACCATGACCCTGACAAAAGGTTCCTTCACCTACTCCAGTGGGGAGGAATACCGTGGCGAGTGGAAGGAGGGTGAGAGCACTCCCAGGGGGTATCCAGTAGACAACACTTCATTTGGCTGAAGGACAAATACATCAGGATATACAAGCCAACTTTAGGAGTCTTGATTTCTAGTCCAGGATTTAATATGAGTTAATATGCCTTTCCTTTATTCAATTTTCAGATTAAGTAAGGAATTAGAAAATGCTATTGTTAATCCAGAGTCCAAAAGTGAGTTATATTTTTCCTCTTCTAAATTTAAAATGTTTCAACATCCTTTTATCCTTTAGTGGTATTAATTATTTGGGAATTGGCTTTATAAATGCAAGTGTACCCAGCAGAGTACAATGAATTATTTTAAGTGCCCGTAAATTAGGAAGTACAGAATTCATTGCAATGACTTGGTTTCAATGAATCTTAAGAAATTAAAGAAGATGTAGAAATTAGGGCAGACTCTCAAGGGCAAATGACATTCATTGCCTTGAATTTCCTGTGACAGCTCATTACATTTGTAGGTATCTATTCATAGGAATGGTAAAATTCTGTATAGTCTGAGAAACATAGTTTGGCCACTTAAAAACCTCGTGGCTTCAGTCCTTGTAGGACCAGGAACAGCCCGGAGAAGACTTGACTTTCTACAGTTACATGTGCCAGTGAAAAGCAGTTCATGCTGTTTTTCCAGACATGTGCCTCCTTCTTTTCATGGTATAGATCCCTGCAGCTGATGATTTCTTGAGAGGAGAAATTGTACAGATGGGCTGTGACCTTGTCTCCATACATCCCTAGCCTTTTCTCCTGCCTCCCAAACACCTGCTGTCCCCTTTAATGTGGCCTTTTAGAGGAGAGGCTTCCTGAGGCTCTGCTGGGCAGTCTTTATCCACCAGAAGAACCCCCTTGTACTGTCTTTGAAGAACAGTATTGCTCTGCCAGCATCTTGCTCTGTTTTCTGGTCAGTTCTGGTAAGAGCAGTCCAATTGATGTAATAAAGCTTGAATCCATGTCACCAGCCAAGTGATTAGGTTTGCCCAGGAGCTTCGTCGGGCTTGGGGGTACTTTTATTTTTCCTCAGAGAGACAGCGAGGTAAGTGTTGAGGGCTCTCGAGTCAGGCTGCCTGCTGTGTTCGTGTTCTTGCTCTACCACTTAATAGTTCTGTGATCTTGTGATCTTGAGTAAGTTATTTAGCTTCTAGTCTTGGTTTCCTCATCTGTTAAATGGAAATAATAATAATATTGTTCCTACCTCATAAGGTTCTTGGGAAGATTAAATAAGGTGATAAATAAAAGTGCCTAGTAGAATGCCAGGCACATAATAAAGGCACTAGGAATGTTAGCTAGTGTTATTTTTAAGTGCTCTTATCTTTCATACTTAGAGAGACTCCCTCCAAATCTGATGATTGTACTTAAGATGGGACGGGGCCAGGAGCTAGGTTTTCCTGTACCTGACTCTGGGAAATAGTCCTCTATTCTGCTGATGTGGCCGCTGCTCTTCTTTCCTTTGTGGGTGGGGTGACAGAAAGCAGGGGGTGTTAGACTCTGAGTCTGCCCCACCCAGACCTGACACCTGTCCTTCTCTTTACTCAGGCCGCAGACATGGTTTTGGTCAACTGATGTTTGCAGACGGTGGCACCTACCTGGGTCATTTTGAGAATGGGCTCTTTAATGGCTTCGGGGTACTGACCTTCTCGGATGGGTCAAGGTGGGTACTGGATCTTTCCTGTCTCAGCCTTAAACTAACAAGTCTTTGATCTAAAAATGAGGGTAATAAATATCTGGTCACACCTGAACTTGTCCCAGGCCCTCTGAAAACAGGCAAGGAATAAGTCATGTTTTTACTGCTTACTTTATAAATAGATCTAAAATTTGAAATGGCAAGGTGCTGAGTGGCCTTCCACCCCACTGCCATTCTCTTACATTACCTCCTTGAGATTAGGGCCTCATATCATACATGCTCACTGGCCCTTCTCTGCTGGATGGGAGTGGGGTGGGTGGCTGGATGGAGCTCTGAGGCAAGTGGAATCAGCTTTGCTCTTTGGCACTAATAGATGACACATCTTAACTGCTTTACTCAGTCAGCCTCAGCAGCTCACTAACCCCCTGAAGGCTAACATCTTGTGTTTCTGCAGGTATGAGGGGGAGTTTGCCCAGGGAAAATTTAATGGTGTTGGAGTCTTCATTCGACATGACAACATGACCTTTGAGGGGGAATTTAAAAATGGCAGAGTAGATGGTTTTGGTAAGTTGAAGCCCAGCAGGACGGGTGACTTAGGCCAGCATTATATGAATGAAAGTACACCTCTTCAGGTTCAGTCCTTCTAGGGCTGTTCCCCCATCCTCAGGGATCATGCCCCAATGCCTACTCAGTGAATTTACCGACAGACTACTCTGGAATAGAGCTTGGAGTTTTTCTCTTCCTTGGCCTCTGCATATCAGGCTAATCTCTTGAGTGCTTGATGCGACTGTCACTCCCATATTTTCTCTGTCCCCCTCAAAGGCCTGCTGACTTTCCCTGACGGTTCTCATGGAATACCCCGCAATGAAGGTCTGTTTGAGAACAACAAGCTGCTGCGGCATGAGAAGTGTTCCGTGGTCGTTCAGCGGGCTCAGAGCGCATCCAAGTCAGCCAGAAATCTCACTGCGTGACAGGGGCTTTGTGCGCCAGCTGACAAGTACTGGGTGAAGCAAATATCCCGTTATTCTCTTGAGGTAAACAAACGAACCAGATGTGAGAGGCGCTGAGAATGACTGTGGAGCAGAAGCCTGGAGATGTGCCCCATCAGCTGCCGGTCAGGGATTCGATCGCAGGGAGGTGCTGAGGATTCCAGCCCTGGGCCGGGAGCAGTTGTTGCTGTTCAGTCTTTCCCCTTCCTGTGTGTTGATACTCTGTTGCTGATGCCTCGGGTACCCGCTGCAGACCCGCTGCTGCCTTCTACTTCATTTTCTGCCAAGGGATGCAGAGTGTCTTCATTCGGCCTATATTTGGGGCAGGTGATCCTTCCTCCTAATTAGGGCCAGGGCTTTGTGCTACCCTAGAGAAACAAGGAAAAAGGGGTGGTGTAGACAGTACAGCAGTTGTGTGAATGTCAAGGCCAGAACTTTCCTGTACATTATCTCCTTGTTCGCTGCTGGTTGGCGTCATGGCTCCAGGTCGTCCACTTTGTCCAACCAGACTTGTGTTTGTGTCTGTGTATTCCCCCTGTGAAGGATTCAACAAGAGTGCTATTTCCCTCTACTTTGACTTTATAAGCTGCCTTCCTTACCTGAGTTCCAGCAGCTACTTTGTGCCCCATTTGTGCCTCTTTCCTTACTTAGACATGGGACAGGATTCCTTTTTGTGATAGTCAAGAAAGAAACAGATGTAAACAGTCATATTATAAGTTATATTTATTACTTACTCCAGGGCAAAGGGCAGACATCTCTGGGCCACTTCAAGCCCTACCACAGACTAATTCAGTCTTTAGGGATGGCTTGGGCTGACACGGCTCCTTCTCAGTGGACCAGTAGGTCAGGCCACCTCAACCCCTTGGGATCTGGGTAGAATTGGACCTATTGTAGGACTGCAGTGAACTGAAAGAGCATTTGGCTCCTTGCATGTGGCTCACCATAATCTTCTACCATGAGCTTGGCCATCAGCCCTGGGGATCAGATCTTGACTTATAACATCACAGATGCATCCAGTTACCCTGTGACCCAGCACATCCCACCCCACCCCCAGCCTCTTGCCTCACACTGAATGTCTCCTTAACAGCAGACTGTGGTGGAAATTATATCTGTGTGCCTCTATTTATTCTCTGAATTGTACTGTAGAAACAGGTGTTGATGAGGAATAAACAAATCACCAGAACTGCTTATCCTGAGTTTTCTTGATTTCCTTGCTCCATGTTCTCATGAATGTTAACCCATTTGCTCTTTCTAAAAGCTAGTTGTAGATGGGGCTTGGAACTGACACTGCCCACCTTACTTCATAATATCTAATATTTGCAAGATAGGAGCTTTTTTTTGCAACCAGAGAGCCTCAGGTTGCCCAGACTAGGAAGCAGCAGAGCTGGGTGGGATCTGTACCCGAGTCTTTCTGATTCCCAAGCACTTCACACTGTGTTCTCTCACCCTGAGCACTCCTAAGTCCTGAGACCAGCTAGTGTCACACCTATAGGGTTATCTCGGGCAAGTCATCTCCTGCCTGGGTTTCCCTTTCTCTGCAACAAGTCGAGTAATACTTCCCTGACTGAGTGAACACCTGACACTCACCTGCCCTCCTACCCCCTTCACATGCAGGATCTAATAAAGCTCTGAGAAGAGAGTACTATTATTATCCTCATATTAACAGATGAACTCAGGCAGTTCAGTAGCTTCCCAAGGTCCCACAGACACTAAAGGGCAGAGCTAAGACATAACCCAGGCCTATTTAAACCCAGAGGCTGAGCACTTCACCAGTACACTAGCCTCCAAAGCCCAAACTTTTTGTACCATCCCTAAACCTGATTCTCCTCTGAGCTCACATCCTACCTGTGAGAATAGCCCAGGTGCTAAGCCCCAAGCTTCAGGGCCATTCAGATGCCCAGTTTCAGCTGAAGATTGAGACCTTTTGTATTCTCTCCTAATCATGGACCTGGTTACCTTTCTTTTTAGTCAGAGTAATGAAAAAATATATATATCTCAGGCTTTCTGCTACTAGTCAGACATCACTGAATAAGGCTAAAATTTTTTTAGAAATCAGCCTTTTTGATTAATGTACAAAGCATTTCCAAATATCCCAGTTGGACCTTTTGCCTCTCCCACTCAACACTTCAATAAACCTTGTCCTAAACCGCCATTAATCTGATACCTATGTTTGCTCAGTGTTAGGGACTCTCTCAGCCAGGAGAATACAGATCTTGAGAGCTAAATTGCCTCTAAGGAGGTTCTTTGACATTTGGGCAGGAAGTCTAAGGGATCCACATAGCAGTGGAGTGTCAGTCTGTACATAGCCACACTAGTTTAACTTATTAAATTTTATTGCAATAACAAAGTAGTTATTTTTAACAATAAAAGCAGAGGGTCTGAAAGAGGATGATCCTGTCTCGGGCCAAGCCCCCTTCCCTAATGTTTCAGACCTGGATTGGCTAGAACAGTTTCCCAGAATGTAACATTCATCCAGCAGGTGTCGTTATTTACCCGTTCTTGAAGCCACTGGCTGTCTCCGTGCACTCTCGTTTCAGGTCAAGGCTAGAGACAAGAATATGAGATGAATCAAAATGGATTTAGGGAAGGGTACTGTGGCTGGAATGCAGCTTAGGGACCTTCCAAAGACCAGTGACACTTTTCTGATCAGGTTTCTTAACCTACCACTTTCCTAGAAAGGAGTGGGGTTCTTAGGAATAGCCCTGGCTTCCCACTGCACTGTGCTAGACTTGAGTGTGTATCCCCAAGTCTGTGTAGTCTTCCCTTCAGTAAGATACCCCGCCTTACTGTGCACAGCTGCCCTTCTCTTACCCACTGGCTTCTGGTTTCCAAGTCTTGGGGCCTGGGAAAGCATGGTAGAGAGGCAAGTAAGCAATTGCTTCTTCCCAGACAGCAGGTCTCTAGAAGACCCAGAGTGTAGGATACAAATGTGAGAAGTTATGGGGCTGTGAGAATCAGAAATGGGCACACATAGCAGTGCCTGGCAACAGGCCACCAGGAGGACTCAAGTAGGAAAAGGAGCCTTGAATCCTGTGCCTCCCATACTCCTCTTCAGGCTGCAGGTGCAAGGCAGGAGGCTGAGATGGGCTTAGGTTGGGCACATCCCCACCTTTCCCTCAGAGCCAGCCATTGCTGGTGAAATCCATGCGCAGTGCCTCCTCCTCTGTGGGGCTCAGGTTCTGCAAGGGGGCACGGCAGGGGCCTCCGTAGTAGCCAAACCAGTCCATGGCTTTCTTCAGCCCTGGAATCCCAAAGCGCCGGGTCACCTGAGAACCAAGACCTGTCAGAATAGACTGAGGAATCCCTGAACACACATATCTGGGTTGAAGAGATGGGTCACTTTCATAAAGTTAGGGTTCCCACCCTTCTCCCCTGGTAAAGTAACTACCAAATCTGTGATGCACAGGGTAAATGGAAATCCGGACTGAGAGCAGAAGGCAGGTCGGTAGTGGAGAACACGATGCCAAAACTTCAGATCAAGGAAGTTGCTTCCTCTGGTTTTAGGAGAAAAATCCCCCCCACTAGGGAGCAGAGTGGCATTCAGTTGTCAAGGTGGGATGGAAGGAGGTAGCAATGCTGTGGGGGTTTGGGCACTAGAGCATCACTGGTCTGCAGCCCAGTTCCTCTGGAACCTGAGCCAGGGTACACCAGGCCTGGGGCCCAGGCAGGAAGGGGTAGGTTCTGTGAGAACCTCAGGCACAGCCTAGACCTCTATTGCCCCAGCAGCAGGGCCCCCACCCCACCCATAGCTCCTCCCAGATGGCAACTAAATTATTTTGCAAGGGAAAAACAATGCCTGGTTATCCCAGGAAGTCTCACCATGTAACTTTGTATCAGCACCTTATGCCTAAGCAACTTCTCTTGTCTAAAAAGTGAAGGCGCTGGAAGACATGATCTCTAAAATTTTTTTCCATTGTAATGAGGTCCTAAAGCTATTGTCAAAGTTTAAAATGAATGCATGGAGTTTTACAGAAAGTGAAGCATCTTTTACTTTTGGCATAGCAACTGGTTATTTCATGTTGATCAGAAGTGTTAGATGAATCTTAGACTACCTAAAAACTAGGTAAGTAATTATTACTTAATAAAGTTTTATTTGGAGAAAAGGTAAACCTTTAGTAGGATTTCATGAAGGGTAAAATAATAAAAGAGGCTCATTTGGGGTAAAAAGATTGAGAACCACGGATGAATGACTAATAACTATTTACCGCCAGAGGCCACTAGGCTTTAGCAAGCATGGAATTTTTTCTTGGAATAGGTGGTAAGCCTCCCTTCTCCCAGGCCTGGCCTCAGCCATGATGTTTTGACAACCTGATATTTTCACCCAAAACCTGAGTAGCAAGGGAAAGACCTAGGAGAGAACGTGGAGACAACAAATACCTAGAGAAAAAAACGTCTTCCCACCACAGGTGTCTGAAGAGCTCTGATTTGCACCCTCCTCAGACCCTGAGAAAGGGTTGAACACTTTGGTGGTAAAGACCATGGAAAGTCCTAATTATAGCTGGTAGATGGGAAGGCAGAGGAAGGACATTATGTTCAAGCAGGGCAGGGCAATAGGGTGACATCAAACTGCTCTTGGGGTGGCTGATCCTACAGCCCAGGCAGCAGAAAGGTGTTCCAAGCACTCCTGAGTGTGTGCCCAGAGCTGGCAGGGGAGGAGGTGCAGAGGGAGAGTGCAACACAACGGTATGCAGATGGCAAGAATGGCAGTGAACATCCTCTCCTCCCAAGGGGTAGTTCATGCTGCTTTTTTTGTAAAATGAGGTGATAACAACACCTGCTCCATGTCACAAGAATTGGAAGAGAAAGACACCACTCCAAGACCAGACCCCAAGAGTCCTGAATGCTCCTCCCCTAACTGTCCTGGTAGTACGCAGGTTCCAGGACCTTCTTGCAGGTGGATGGGAGTGGGAGAGCAGAGGCCCCACCACAGTGGAATGTCCACTATGTACAGGACAGCCTGTGCCCTGATGAGGCTCAGCTGAAGGCCCTCATTTCTGCAGTTCTTACATCCTATTTATAGAGCATCCTCTCCCATGAGAACTTCCACATCCAGGGAGGCTCATACTTGCTTCCTCAGCTGTTTTTTCTCTAAATATGAATCATTCTGCCCCTTTGAGGGAAAGATATAAGCTATGAGGGAGATCTGGAGCCACTCTCCACTTTACCCGAACAACACATTACCCAGTTCACTCTAGCACTATTGCTTCTGATGCAAACCTTAAGGGGAAGCCAAAAAGCTCAGTTATCAGGATAAATAATGCTTACTGTAATATTTTAAAACAATCAAAATCAATGCAAAAGAATCATGATGAATAAAACGTCAGTGTTTTAAAAGAAGGGTCCAATAGGTCCATGTCCTGCCATATTGTAGTCTGAAGCAAAAGTAGACCTGTGTGTCCCTCTATACATGTTTTGTGTATTTTCTAATGGTTAATTTTTTCTAGAAATAGATTTAGAAAAAAAACATCTGATGAGGTTGCTTCCATTCAAGCCAGGAAAATAAAATTATAATGAATTATTATCTTGGTATAGATAAAATATTTAAAACTAAAAGAATGCTTTAAGTTTTAACATACCTACTTTTTAATTTTTTCAAAAAAATTTTTAACTAATGTTCTGGTGGGGGGGATAATCATTTAGAAAACAATCCATTTCCACTTCTAAGAAGATGGGAATAGATGTACTTTTCCCTATTCCTCACAACTAGAAAACCTTGGACATTATACAAAAACAGACATAAGGAGATTCCAAAAGGTAGAGTGAAGGAAGACCAACTAGGGCCCCTGGGACCCAAGGAACAACAAGTGGTGAGTGCCCTGGTCCAGACTTGGAGCTGATGAAGCTGACAACTCTAAAATGCCAATGGGCACAGACAGTAAGATCCCCAAAAGCCTGTTCTTTGGCCAAGGACTGGGAAAGGGGCAGCTTAGCAAGACAGAAAACTTTTAGATAATAACCACTCTACTCCAGCAAACACCCCAGAAATAACTGAGGCCTCACCCCCAACCAAGCCAGCAAAGGCTGAACTGGGAGCCAGAACTTCTACCCCGATTCCTGATGCAGGAGTAGAGCGTGCCCCCCCTCCAGGGGGTTGGTTTCAGAAGAGGCCTAGTGAGGGAAGTCAGAACTTCGAGTGCAGACCACAGTGGGAAGCAACAAGGAGACATTCCTGCAAGGAGGCATTCCTGCCCCTTCTGGCCAGGGAGGTCTCAGTAGAGGCCTAGTGCAGAGCTGTAATTTAAAAACACTCCCCAAAAAGAAATCTCCAGGCCCAGATAGTCTCACTGGAAAAATCTAAGAAATGTTCAAAGAATATTTAACACCAATTCTACACAGTCTTTTTCAGAAAAGAGAAGAGGAGAGAATACTTCCCAATCACTTGAAACTATTGGTACCAGGATACCAAAATCAGCCAAAGGGTAGTATCTAAAAAAAGGGAAACTATATACCAATATCATCCATGAGTATAGATAGAAAAAAATCTTTAACAAAATATTAGCAAATGGAATTCAGCAACATATAAAAAATATATACCATGTGCAAGTGGCGATTAGAATTAGGATTCCAGGTTTAATATGCAGGCCTGGTTCAGCATTAGAAAATTATTCATGTAATCTAACATATTAACAGAATCAAGAGAAAAAAATTCACATGATCATATCAATCAATGCAGAAAAGCATTTGACAAAAGTCAACACCCTCGGCAATACCACAGAGACTTGATTATTGTTGGCATATAATAAATCTTTCTATCAGGTAGACTATTTCCTCCTACTTTGTTCTTTTTGTTCTACCCATAATTTTTTTAGCTATTCCAACTCCTTTGCTTTTCCATATAAATTTTAGAACAATCTTGTGTGGTTTTGCAGAGAGACAGACACATAGATCAATGGAAAGAATAGAGAACCTAGAAATAGACCTACACAAATACGTCCAACTGGTTTTTGACATGCTCTTTTTTTTCCCCCATAATTGTTTTAGCTATTCCAACTCCTTTGCTTTTCCATATAAATTTTAGAACAATCTTGTGTGGTTTTGCAGAGACAGACACATAGATCAATGGAAAGAATAGAGAACCTAGAAATAGACCTACACAAATACGCCCAACTGATTTTTGACAAAGGTGTAAAAGCCTTTCAATGGAAGAAAGATCATCTCTTAACAAATGGTGCTGGAGCAAGTGGATATCCATAGGCACACACACAAAAAAAGAACCTCTACCTAAGTCTCACACTTTACACAAAAATTAACTCAAAATGGGTCATGGACTTCTAAAATGTAAAACTATAAAACTTTTAGAGAAAAAAACAGAAAATCTTCACAATCTAGTGCTAGGCAAAGTGTTATAAACTTGGTATCAAAAAGCATAAACATAAAAGAAAATAAGAATAAATCAGATTTCATCAAACTTAAAAATTTTTTGTTCTGCAAAAACACCTGTTAAAAGTATGACAAGACAACCCTAAGAATGCAGCAGCCCACTTTGAAAAAGACATATGCACCCCTATGTTTATCACAGCACTATTTACAGTAGCCAAGAAATGGAAGCAACCTAAGTGTCCATCAGTAGATGAATGGATAAAGAAGATGTGGTACATATACACAATGGAATATTATTCAGCCATAAGAAGAAAATAAATCCTGCCATTTGCAACAACATGGATGGAGCTAGAGGGTATTATGCTCAGTGAAATAAGCCAGGCAGAGAAAGACAAGTATCAAATGATTTTACTCATATGTGGAGTATAAGAACAAAGAAAAAAACTGAAGGAACAAAATAGCAGCAGACTCACAGAACCCAAGAATGGACTAACAGTTACCAAAGGGAAAGGGACTGGGGAGGATGGGTGGGAAGGGAGGGACAAGGGGGAAAAGGGGGCATTACGATTAGCAGACAATGTAGAGGGGGCATGGGTAGGGCTTGTACAACCCAGAGAAGACAAGTAGTGATTCTATAGCATCTTACTACACTGATGGACAGTGACTGTAATGAGGTATGTTGTGGGGACTTGATGATGGGGGAGTCTAGTAACCATAATGTTGCTCATGTAATTGTAGATTAATGATACCAAAATAAAATAAAATAAAAAATAAAAAATAACTAAAAAAAAAGTATGACAAGACAAGCTACGAACTGTAAGAAAATATCTGCAAACTACTATATCTGACAAAGGACGAGTATCTAGAAGATAAAAAGTTTCAAAACTCAACAGTAAAAAACAAACAATCCAACTAGAAAGTGGGCAAGAGACATAAACATCTGTTTCATTTAAGAGGATATAGATATAGCAAGTAAAAAGATGAAAAGATGTTCAATAACATTAGCCACAATTTGACACAGTCATTCACTCCTAGGAATTTACCCATAGAAAACAAAATCCCTGATTCGAAAAGGCATATGCATCCCTCTGTTTACTACTGCACTATTTACAATAGCCAACGTATGGAAGCAATCTAAATGTCCATCAACAGATGAGTGGATAAAGAAAACCTGGTACATATACACAATGGAATATTACTCAGCCATAAAAAGAAAAGAAATCCTGCCATTTACAACAACATGTATGGGTCTAGACGGTATTATGCTCAGTGAAATAAGTCACATGGAGAAAGACAAATACCAGGTAATTTCACTCATTTGTGGAGTATAAAAACAGAGTGAAACAGAAGGAACCAAAAAAAACAGTAGACTCATAAAAACCAAGAAGGGACTAGTGGTTACCAAAGGGGAAGCGTTGGGGAGGGTGGCTGGAGAGGGAGAAGGGGATTAAGGGGCACTATACTTCGCAATCACAACATATGTAGGTCATTGGGACAGTAGTACAGCATAGAGAATACAATTAATGACTCCATAATATCTTACTACATTGATAGACAGTGACTGCAATGGAGGGGATGAGGGCTTGATAATATGGGTGAATGCTGAACTACTGTTTTGTGTATGTGAAGCCATCATAAGATTGTATATCAATGATACTTTAATAAAAACATAGCCATTAGAGAAATGTAAATTAAAACCACAGTGAAGTGTCTCTACACACCTATCAGAATGGCTAAAATAAAAACTAGTCACAACACCTAATACTGGTAAGGATGCAGAGAAACTGGGTCACTCATATATTTACATTGATACAAATGTAAAATGGTACAGCCACTCTGGAAAACAGTTTAGCAACTTAGAAAAATAAACATGCAACCATCATATGACCCAACAACTGTGTATTTATTCCAGAAGAATGAAAACTTATGGTCATGCAGAAACCTTTACATGTACGTTCATAGTAGTGTTAAATAGCCCTATACTGGAAACAACCCAGCTGTCCTTCAACAGGTAAATGGTTAACTATGCTGTGGTTTAGCCATACCATGAAAGAATACTCATCAGTAAAAAGGAATGGCCTATTGATATGTGCAACAACCTAGTTGAATTTCCAGAGAATTATGCTGAGTGAAAAAAAGCCAATCTCAAAAGGTTATATACTACATGATTCCATTTATATAACAGTCTCCAACTGGCAGCATTATAAAAATGGTGAACATTGGTTGCCAGGGGTTGGAAGGGGTGGGGGCAGGAGGTGAGTAGGTATGGCTATAAAAGCATAAATGAGGGATCCTTGTGGTGTAAAAATACTCTGTATCTTGACCTTGTCACTGTCAGAATCCTGGTTGTCCTATAGTATTGTAAGATGTTACCATAGGGTAGAAACTGGGGAATGGGTATATGGGTTCTCTCTGTATTATTTCTTATAATTTCATGTGAATCTACAATTATCTCAAAATAAAAATTTTTAAATATACATAAACACATGTCTACAGGGACACATATTTTTCTTTTTCCCTCAGACTCCAATGTGGCTGTGCACAGCACTGCCTGCACTTGACAGGCCCTGCATCTTGGCCCTTCTCCTTCACTTGCCCAGCACAGCACTAAGATACAGTGGTCTGACTCTGACTGCAGAATAGCTTGTTTGAAGACAGAACTCTCTTGGGAATCTGAGCTCTGAGTATCTCTGGCCTTCTAGTTCCTCTACTACTCCCAATTATTCTGTTGTTCAGGATCTGGCCCCTGATAAAGTTGCTACAAAGGCCCACAGCTCACTTTCTCTAGGCAACGTATCTGTAAGTAAGGTCCTAGGGTTATTGATATCATAACCACCCAGAATGTCTCAATGCATATTCTTGGGCCTAAAGGATTAGGATTTTAACTAGCTCCCTAAATGAATTCAAATGCACAGTTAATTTTGAGAACCAATGGGGATCAATTTTGTCTGAAGTCAAGATTTTTCTGGGGAGGCACAAGGAGTCCCCACACTGGGATGTTCTCTAAAAGGACTTTCTGCAAGGGCAGAGACTGGGGCCACCGTGCCTGCTCTGGCTCCTGCTCCTATGAAGACACAGTACCCACCCCCACTTCTTCCCTCACACCCCTGCCCTTTTGGTGCCATCAGCTGGGAGCTCACCGCAGTGTTTGGCTCAATGAGGCGGTGCTGCAGCTTCTGGGCATCCTCCCATTGCCCTGTGAGGCAGAGTCGCTCCAGCTGGCACACCTGCGCCCCCAGGACATTGGCCAGGGCACACACGCCCCCAACAGCTCCTGCCCCAGAGTAAGGTGCAGAACATCAGTTAGAGCCTCTTCTCACAGAGAATTCCAAACCCTAGTTCCCAGCCCTCTTTATTCTGGGGAGATGGGATATGATTTCTACATCACCGGTTGGCCATGTCAAAGGCAAGCCTGAGTCCACCACGTGCAGATTTCTAAGGCTGTTGGCATATTCAAAATGGAGTTCCGCAGGCTGAGGGCCAGGGAAGAGAGACTGAAGACTGACTCAAGGACATGCCTTCCCTGCACCCTCAGCCCCTGAGAGTAAAACCCCGCTGCTGGTTGACACTTTCATGCTCCTCTGGTTTCAGCAGTCCTGGAAGGGAGTGGAGTGGACGGGAAGCCTTTGCTCTTCTGAAATATCACTCCCCCCAGTGAATTTAGCCTGGCACAGTGGTGGGGGTTGGAAAGAGCTCTGGACACAGGAGACCATGTATTTCTTCTTACTGGCTACATGAACTGGCACAATCATAGACCTCCTGATTGTCTTTGTTCTCATCTGGGCAATGAACGTGGGCTGGCTGTGATCTCAGAAGGCCCTGCCACTTCTGCCAGCCTGTGAGTATGATTTTTAAGGCTAGTTAGGATTGACCTTAAGGACAGTGGCCTCAAGAATAGAGAGCAGGAAATCTGTAATAAGCTAATATTGCTGCTGTTTACTGATTCCTCCTATGTGCTGGCCGCCATGCAGACACAGGGATGACCCTTTTGAATTCTCACAACACCTCCCTGCTTTACAGAGTAGAAACTTGGGCCCAGAGAGGGTGAGTGCCTTACTCAGCAGTACTCAGTGACTAAATGGCAGGGCTGAGATCCTAGCTCAGACTCCCTGACCTCCAGACCCTGTGTTCTTATAATCTACCCTACTCTCAGGAATGAGGCATACATGGGTCCCCTTCTGATTCTTCCCCTGCAATTTAAAGATAGTGACATGGCAGAGGAAAGATGTGTAAGGACCTATACAACAAGCCAGAGTCTGTGGAGACCAGAGAAGATAGGAACCATCACTGCCCCCTGCAGCAAGTGCAATTTTTAAGCATTTTCCCTGCAGCATGGGAAAGTAACCCAATCTATCTACCTGCTGGGGATCCAGCTGAAGGGAACAGATACTTCCCATCCTCTCTACCCCAGGGTGCAAATCCAACCTTAACCCAAAGACCTTGACCCAGAACAGAGAAAAATAGTTGGTTTAATTAGGTGGCATTCCTAGGACCCTGGACTGGAACAGAATCTGATCAGGCAGCTGAAGATTCTTGGCTTAACCCTATGGGTCTGACCATTCATTTTGGCCTGGGACCAGGAGAGAGGAAAATGGACTCCCAGACTAGAGGGGAGGGCCCCAAGGCCTCTGCCCTTACCGAATGATTTACAAGGTGAGATTAGAGGAGCTAAATCTGTTACCTAAACAGAGAGCTCAGGACTTAGAAACTGCAGGCATCCCAACTACAGGCCAGCAATGATTCACAGCCACCCTCCTCAGCCCAGAAAAGTTCATCCACAAGCACCCAGTATTCAGATAAGCAAGCAGCATACTGGACTTCTGAGGTTTTTCAAGTAGGCAGGATGGCCAAGTCCCTCTGCAGAGCAAGCCCCAGCTCCGACGGTCTCTCCCAGCAGACCCCAGCTGCCTGGGTGTATCTGGGTCACCCATCATAGTGTGAGAGCAGAGGGAGGTCTTACCCACAGCATAGCTGGCCAGCAGGAAGCCAGCCGATCCAGCCAACACCTGGAAATCCTGCCTCTTGGTCTTGTGAACAATCAGTGCAATCCTGGTCACCTGCAGCAGCAAACTGGGCATGAGAGCTGGGCCCAGAGCCTCAGTGCTGGCCTAGAAGGGGCTGGGCAAGCGTGGGAGAATGAAACCCAGGCCCTGAAACTCAGAAACAGCCCCAGGAAGTCCACACGACCGAAAGAATGCAAGCAGGCCTCTAGGACAGAAGCAGACCCCAGAGCTGCCCTGAGGTGGTAGCAAAAGAGAAGGGGCACCCAGCCAGGAGCTGCTGCCACTCACATCACCACCACTGTCCTTGATGCCCACGATATTTGGGTGCTGGGAAAGCGTGACCACTGCATCCACAGGCAGGTCCAGCCCAGTGTTGGCTGGGACACTGTACAACACCACAGGAATTGGGGAAAGGTCAGCAACCTGAGGGGTGCAAAGGAGGGGGAGAGGGCAGCCGCCACATGCCCAAGCAGCCTGAGGCTCTGCCCAACACCAACAGGTCTGGGCCTGGTCACTGCAGGGCTACCTGGACAAGCCCACCTCCAGGATTAGAGGTCACAGAGCTCCATACCCTGTTGTAAGCAGTAATAATGGGCACTCTTCAGTGGGCCCTTTCTATGTGTCAGGCCAAGTTCTAAGTCCCTTATGTTTTGATCCAATTTAGTTCTCCAAACAAATGCATGGGGAAGATACTATTATTCCTCCCATTTGAGAGGGGAGGAAACAGCGGCACAGTGTGATTATGTTAGTTGCCCAATGTTGCACAGCTGGGACGTGGTGGCAATCTCTCCCCTTTCCCATAGCTGCCATTCATGGGAAGCAGGCTCACCACTCTGCTCCCAGTTTCTCTTGTCTCCTCTCCCTAGGAAGGAGAAACGGCTCCCAGTTTCTCTTGTCTCTGCCTCACGCATCCTCCCCTTGGTGGTCAGCCTAAAAACCTATGCCCACCTGTCACACTCACCTTGGTGTAGTGGTGAATAAGGGCGCTGCTGCTCATGCGGCCCCTATAGTAGCATGGGGTCACCACCAAGGCAATGTCGGCCCCAACCTGGGCCATGCTCACGGTCATCTCCACTGTGGCTTGAGTGGCTGCAGGAGGAAAGAGGGAGTCTTCCCTACAGGCCACGGAAGGCGAAAGAAAGAGGAAGAAGGGCTGGGCTAGGACCCTGGGGCAAGCAAGGGGTGCTCAAGAGACAGAACAAATAGACTGAACCCAGCCCAGAGCCAAGGAGCCTGGCTCCCATATCCAGCCTCCCACAGGCCCAGGGCTTTATGGTCTCACACTCGCAGCCAGAGCCAGCTAACAGGAACTTGTCCTTCGGTAGAGCCTGGCACACACGGTTCACCACCTCCAGGCGCTCACTGCTGGTCAAGAAGGGGAACTCGCCATTGGAGCCCTGGACCACAAAGCCTGCAAGAGAGGCCCATCAAAGTCATGGACATCTTCCCAACCAGAATTTTTTACCCAGTTGCAATGGCAGTGTTCACACCATTCTTCATTTTAATGAAGTGTTTTAGTCATACCCAAAAGAGTAGATCATCATATAATCTACGTGCATGTACCCATGACAAACCTCCCCTGATCACCTTCTTCTTCCTCTTCTTACTGTCCTGACTCAGGACTTTATTGTTTCCATCCATGTCTTTCTATCCTTAAGACATACATGTGGACCCATAAACAAGGTGTAATATGGTTTTTGTCACTGTAAACTTTATAGAAATGGAATCAAAGTCATATAACCTTCTGCAGTTTGCTTTTATTGCTCAAGATTAAGCTTTGAGCTTTGCTCATTGTGGTACATGTAGCTGTGATTCATTCATTTTAATTACTATGTAACATTCTATTATGAGGTTAGATCATCATTTATTTCTCTCTCTGAGGACACTTAGAATGTTTCCTTCTTAACTTTGCTATTACAAACAATGCTAAAACATTTTCTGTAAAGTTTTCTGTGCCCACAGCCAAGAGTTTCTCTCCTGTTTACTTAGGTGTATAATCTCTGAGTCACATGTATGTGCATTTTCACATGCTAATTAGCTAATTTTCACTAATTAGCCAGTCCATGCCCCATCAGCACATAGAAGAGTCTGATAGTGCTTATCCATGCCAACACTTGGTATTATCAGAAAGAAATTTTGCCAGTTTTTTGGGAGAAAAGTGACATTTCATTATTTTATTTTCATTTTCCTGTTTTACAATCATTTGAGGGGTTTCTAACAATACCAGTTAAAGGTGTCAACCCTTTTATGCCCATAAGAGACCAGCAGAATTGATATTCTTCCACTGAATCTGACGGGAATGTTAGGAAACTATTTTCCTCTCAGCGTTTTTCACTTAACTTTCTTTCCTCTTCTTTTCTTTCTCCTCTCTATTCCATTCCAAAAATATTTTCCTTATTTTGTTGACAAATACAGCACAGAATACAAGATTACTGATAAACAGAAGACTGTTTAGGATAAAGTAAAGAAAGCTAGGAGAGATACTGACACATAAATCCCCTGCCATACAGTTGTGAAAGATGGGCCATAAATTTGACTTGAAGCTTCCCGACAGTCAAAGCTAAAAGGGAAATGTGGTCAGCTGACAGATATGCAGAACTCAAGATAAAAGCAAAGCAGCTGCCCTGAAGAAACAGTTTCCTGGCACTGGAACCAAGAGAGATTGTTCCCGTGAGTCATCCTTAAGGGGACACAGTGTGATGTAGAGTCAACTTTACACCACAAACCTTTGTCCATTAGATTCCAGCGAGTGATTGCCAGAATAGCTCACTGGGTATTAGCGTTTTTCCCCATGTTTTGCCTTGGTAACATTGCAGGGAACATCTGTAGGCAAATAACTTTTGGCTTCTGTTAGATTGCCTGCTCCTCAGGTCAGCTCCTCCATGTCAGGTTAGCTGCCTCCTTCTGTCTTGCTGTGCAGGGCCCCTGTGCTTTGCCAGTGCGCCATCTCCATGTGCGGAGCTGCCAACTGGGAGCAGGCTCCAGCCCAGCCATGACTCGACCAGCACCCTCAGAGTTAGACATCAAGCTTTCACTGCTTCTTCTATGTGAATGCCAGAGACATCTCCCTTCCCAACCCTGCTGCTGCCTTCCCTTGAAGGGGGCTGGGCGGGTTCTTGCTGCGGCCACCCCTTCAGCCATGGTCATCCACTCCCAAGTCCCTCTTTATTCTGGTGGTCAGTTCCTGGCCTACAGCCAGTCTTGCACCCTGTCAGGGCTGAAGCAGGCCTCTACGCTGAAGACTCCTGGAAACCTCTCCCTTGTCTCATTTAAGGGAGCATCTGACCCAGGCATGACTCCCCAGAAGGAAGAAATCCAGGCTAGGAAAGTGGGGGTGTGATGAAGTCAGATGGACCCAAATCACCTCTGCCTATTGAGCAAGTCACAGCACATCTCTGAGTCTCCATTTCCTTTTCTATGGGATGACAATAGAATCATTTCAGTCCTATTTACACTTATAAAACACTCCTATAGGGCTGTTTTAAAGCCCTATACGTTTTAAGAAAATGTACATGAAAGCACTTTAAAATCTGCGAACTGATTGTCACAAGGATCCCCTTCCTTCTCCTTGGCTAGAGGTCCAGTCTGGGCCCACAGGCCTCCCCTGGTGTAGAGAGGGAAGTAGAGAGGTAAAGGCCCGGGGCCTGGATGGGCCAGGAGTGAGGGGAGTGAGTAGTGAGGGATGGAGAAGCATGAAACAGTGTTACAGGGTCAGATGCATAGGGTCTGAACTCAGAGGCACCTGGGCTCAACTCTCAGAGTGGCCCCTCATCAGCTAGGAGATCTTGAGCAAATGGCTTAAAACCCCAGCTTCCTCAAGTGAAAAATGGGTATAATATTAGTACCCTCTTGAAAGGGTGGCAATGAAGCTTAACTGAGATATTATTTGTAAAGTGCTTAGAACAGAACCTGGCACTCAGTAACTGTTAGCTGTAATTATTAATGAGTCTAGATAGGTGCTCAAGCCTTAAATCAGGAAGGTGGCAGCCTTCAATTTGAAGTGGAAGAGAATGGCTGGTGTGGAAGGGGAGGTTGCCTTCAGGGATTTCATAGTCCTCCTCCAGATTTATGACAAAAAACTCATTTCAGAAGCTACTTTTTGCCCCCATGGTTATGCTGGCTGCTCTGGGGAGCCAGAGTGGCCTGGGAAGAGGAGTGTGTTGGGGGCTGGGGATGCACAAGCAACATGGGGACTTAGTGTGGCCAAAAGGAATCACAGTCTCCCTTACTGTTATGCCCCTTGTCCCATCATCATTGCCACCTCCTCTGAAAAGTCTTCCTGGGATCCCTCCGAAGCCTTCAATCTCCCCCACCCCCACCTATGGGATTAGGCAAAATTTCTCAAACTGGTCACTGCCATAAAATGAAGAAATTGGATTATATGGTCTCTTAAATCCTCCTGGGCTCTAAGCTTCTAAGTCACTTTTCTGGCTTTTCTTCCTACCTTTGGTCTATCTCTAAATGTTCCCCTGCAGCCAAACTGACAGTCAAGGTCCCCCAGATACACTGCCACCTTCCTGCCTCTACCCCTTTGCTTTTACTCTTCCCGTCTGCTGGGAACATCCTCTCTAGTTGCAGCTCCTCAAGTGCTGTGAGGTCCACAAAACTGTTCCTCAATTCTCTTCCCCTTTGCACTCCATAGCATTTTGTTCTCCTTGCATAGCCTTTGTCCTACTTTGCCTAGAATCATCAAGATCAGGTTTGGTCCCCCTCAGTGTGGCCTCCATGACATTTAGTACACTGCCTGTATTGTTATGTATTGACAATTTGTTATATAAGAGAAAAATTGTCCCAAACTTGAACTAGGGCAGAACTTTTTTGTGTGATGTCATTCATAACCTCCCATGGGAAAGAAATAGGCATTCCTGATAAAACACTTAAGCAATTTCCTGATGAGCTTTAGCAGAATTCAGCACTGATCTGGGACGCCACCCTCCAGCTGACTCTCAGACAAGAGTCCAGTGCTGTTAACTACTCTTCCTTGTATCTAGCTGAACAATGATTTAACCCATTCTCTTGGGTTAAAATATTCTTATCAAGAGTATATATTTGAGTTGGCTGCTTAGAAGCCATTCTCCTTACAGCACAACTGTAGTACCCTGACATGACTCATAACTAAACTGTCTGGAAACTTTTTTAACTTTTAATTTTGAGCTACTTTTAAATTTATAGAAAAGTTGTAAAAAGAGTACAGGAGATTTCTATACATTTCTCACCCTTCCCCCACCAATGATAATGTCTTACCTAACTATAGTACAATTATCAGAACCAGAGAATTAACATTGGTACAATTAACTAAAGACTTTATCTGAATTTTGCCAGTTTGAAACTTTCTTAGATTCCAAAGTCATAATTAGCTAATCTGAAATTTGATACAATAAGCTTGTAATAAGAGATTTAAGGTCTTCCATATACATGCATGCATTTTGTGCATTTTAACAATCACTTTCAGAAGCTAAAATTGCCCCTCTTGACTTTTGTCTAATTTAGCAGCTTCCAACATTTTCTAGTGTGACTGAGCCCATTTTTTCCAATTAAGATTTTTATTAGGAAGTATTTTGATACATGTATATATCAACATTTCTATAAAGTCACTTATTAGTAATGTCAAAAATATGTAAATACTCTTAATTATGCTTCATAAGATCAATTGGCAACCTTTAGGGGATTTACAGATTTATCCAACCTGTGCAATGATTCTGGTCACTTTCTCCCCAGAGTTGAGGCCCACAGGCTGGGAACCACTAGTAAATTCATAATAGATGCAAATGCTAAGAAACTTCTATGTAAAGGAGTCACTGGAGGTAAGAGAGCACTGCATAGCTGACTTCTCAATTTCATGGGGGAGATGGTTGCCTCTCTTTAACTGCCTAACTGGGGGTCACCCCTTGCCCCAGAAATGATTTCTTGGGATGCAGGAAGAGGAGTCAGGGAGAGTCCCAGGTTTGCAGGAAGGCCCAGAAAGTGTCAGGACATGTGAGAAGAGGACAGGGACAAGTATGTGCGAGGTAGACCCATCTGAGGACAGTGGGCTTCAGACTGGAGTGCAGCAGAGGGCAGAATGAGGGGTGTGGGCTTTGGAGTTAGGCAAAGCTGGACCCTGACTCTAGCGACATCCCTTAGTGTCTAGGCCATCACAGGCAAATTACATCTCTGAGCCTCAGGTACCTTATCTGCAAAATGGAGGTAATATAATACCTTCCTCATGGAGTTGTGCCGTAACACTCAACACAGAGTATGGCATGTACTAAAAACTCAAGAGGGAGCTCTGGTAGTACTAATAATCCTACTAGGTAGTAGTACTAGCAACAGTGGTAACCCCAGCAGCAGTAAATAAACAAGCAGAGAGAGTATATAGCACAACAGCTCTGAAGGCAGGTGGCACACAGAGGGCCCCGGGCAGCAGATGGGCAGGAAGAGAGAACTGCAGCGGGGGACACCACGCGATCTGAGAAGCAGTAAACAGGATGAGAATGGCACCAAGAGGATAGGTGGCCAGTGTCTCACCCTGCTTACTTACTCACTTCTGAAAGCTGTTTCTCCCCATTCCTTCCAACACTTGGCCATTTCCTCCTTTCCTGGCAACAGCAGGGTGGTGACTTTGAGCCCTGGACATACCCATCCCCAGAAATCAAGACCCAGGGAAGCCCACTGATGGAGTCTTACACCAACCCAGGGAGAAGACCCCAGGCCAAGGCCCATGGGGAGGCTGTGAGAGAAGGGGCCTCTCCCTTCGTCCCTGCCCGGGCCTGAGGCTGGCCACACAGCTCCCAGACACAGATGGAAGGTCTTCCAGGCTTTATTGGCTCGTTTGCAGGCACTCAGCCGCCCCTGGGATCTGCCTTGTCTGCTCTTGGCAGGTCTGTAGGAGCTGGTGAGTGAGTTTCAGCTGCTTTGCTTTCTCCCAGCTCTCCTTCCACCAGTGGCCATTCCCTGTGGCAGACTCCACTCAGAGAGTCAGAAGGGCCCTGGAACCCTGTGGGGCCTGAGGAAGAAGGGATTTGGGCAGCTCACCCTGGGCCTCATAGGTTGCCCCAAAGACAGAAAACAAGCCTACAATTGTGTGCCAGTCCTGCTGGGGGAAGGGGCATCTCGTATGTGGTTACTTGGCTTCAAAGGGGTGGTAGGGCTGATGGCTGTGGCTGGGAAGGCTGTGGCTCTGATGGCTCGGGTGGCTTGGGTAACCCTGATGGCTTTGGTGCCCGTGGCCAGGGAAGTTGTGTGTGTAGTGCACACCAGCTATAGTGGTTTCCCGCTGGCTGAGGAAATTCCCTTTCAGCTTCATCTCCACCTCCTCCAGGGCCTTCAGCTCCTCCTGGTTGATGTCCTTGGACTCCAGGTGGCCTGAGTTCTGGTAAGCTGTGGCATACTGCAACATGGAGTTAGCCAGATGCTGTCCCTTGGTGTCAATCTCCTTGGCACAGGCAGCCACAGTGGCCCACGTGGCCTCATCTGTGGATGAGGCTCTTCCAGACTCCTTGTGGGTCTCTTTGGGCCCTGAGGACCCAGACACCCTCTGCTTGCTAGTGAAGGACTCCTGGTGAAAAGCTGTGCCCCCTTCTTGCTTCATGGCGAAGGTCTCCCTGTGAACTGTGCTGCCCGCCTGTCCTCTGCCACTCTCAGCTAGGGCAACGATAGCACTGCTGCCAGCAGCACTGATATTGCTGCAGGCGGCCAGTTTTTCCTCAGAAAGGCAGGTGAAGTAAGATTTGATCCAGTCCTCATTCTTTGTTCCATGGCATTCTGATGACTCGTGTTCACCTTGTGCAGATTCAGGGGGCATCTTCCTTCTCCTCTTCCTCTGAATCCACAGCAGGAGGCCTCCACCTCCAAGTAACAGGGCAGTCCCCAGCACCACCTTGCATGACGGCTGCTGGATGAGCTCCAAGAAGGTCTCCAGGACCCTACACCCGGCAGGCGGAGCTAAGTGCACACTGGGTGTGGGAGAGCCTGGATGGTATGGCTCATGCTTGAAGGGGCAGTCTCCCCAAGGGTGTCTGGCAGGCAGGCCCCACCTCCTGCTGCACCTCCCTAGGATGCCCCTCCCACCTCAGCAATAAACCCTATTGTGAGGAAGGTGGTTGGGGGGCAGGGTGCAGAAAGGCCACAGCATCTCTCACATCAAGCCTGGCAGGCATTGCCTAAGGCCCAGATCCCGCCCAGACAGCTGTCCCCAAGGCTGGTGGAAGGGCAACTTCCCCAATTCTGAGTCCATTCTGCCTTCTGTTTGTGACCCATGCTGCAACTCAGTCTTTGGTTTATCTCCCTCCCCATCGGGTGGTCCCCAGGGTGTAGAGGCTGCTGGGTTAGGCTGGCCACCGCTGAAGGACCTCCCTCGGCTGGGATGGCATCTACTCCTGCTGCCTGAGGCTGGTGTCTCCTTCCACCCTAAGGCCCACCCTCGCTGCCAGCTTAGCACATCTCATTCCCACTGCAGGTCCCAGTCCCATTATGGAGCAGGGTCCAGAAAGAAAAGGGGCCCAGGAAGGAGCTCGTTCTAGAACAAAGGGAGATCACAACTGGGGGATACAAGCAGTGGGCTGAGAAGGCAGGACAGATAGGACAGGAGGTGTCACCAGGTTCCAGCTTCTGGGGTTACTCCAGAAAGGGGGCTGCTCCCTCTTGCCTTAGGGATACATCTGCAAACCCAGAAATTGCCCACACTCCCACCCCACGCCCAGGTTGGGCACAGTTCAGGTTGCAGGCAGGTGGGCCACCTGGCCAGGCTCTCCAAAGGCAGAGACAACTGAGAACCTGGCCCATAGTCCCAAATTATATCCGGGCCTCTTGGGGTAGAAACAGGCCTGGGCCACTCTATTTGGTTTCCTCAGAGGCATCGAATGCATTTTTAAAAATGAAGAAATGCTAAAATAGGATTGCAAAAACTGTGATATTTTAAACAAAATACTTTAACAAAGTAATGGCTTTAATATCCACAAAAATATTATATCTTACCACAAGAAACCATGGTCTAGTCTACATTCAAAGGGAGTAAGACACAAGCTTAAGGTTTTATGGGGACTGTCATCTCCCCTGTCCCACTGGATAGCTCTGTAGTCATCTACAACCTCATCTGAAAATAACAGTTCAAAGTTCATCTTTGAGGTTGTTTGTGGGAGTGAGGTTAGGGCCAAATGTCCTCTCTGCAACAGCTCCACCCTCCAGTCTCTAGTTACAACTTTTATTTTAAAAGAACACTCTTTATTCAAATTCTGCCCCGGACTGTTGGGCTGAAACCCTACTGCAGAAGCCAGGATAGCACAAGAGAAACATTGATTTTAGAGCTGAAGTTGCTTAATGCTCCCTTCCTGGCTTTCTGGCTGTGCCCCGGGAGCAGTGACAAGGTCTGTGTCTGTGTTCACTGTGCCAGGGCTTCATGGTTGAGCTCCTTGGGAGGAACGTGTTGAGCCTGCTACTCAGTTCCCATTCTAAAATGAGGAAACTGGATTAGAGAGGTTCAGCAACTCTCCAAGGTCACGAGAATTGGCAGAACCAGGATTCTTACTCAGGTCTTCTAAGTGCAGATGCCAGCGTTCTACACAGCCCACTGCCTCCCTGGTGTGTGGGTAAGACAGAGATAAGGTGGGAACAGGAGCCTGAGTGGGGTTGTGTGGGCACGGGAGGTCCACAGCCTGCCAAATCCACCCCAGCCCGCGCTACCAGGCACCTCCACGCCCTCTGCAGGAGTGAGTGGGTGGGAGGGAAGGATGGGTCCGGAGAAGAGCCTGGGGTTTCTGTGGATGCTCTGGGTGGCAGGCAGATACAGGATGCAAGGACCACACTTCCCATGCCCTGCACTAGCTGTCCTGGAACCTGGAAGGTGAAGCAGAATCTTCCCTCCTCTTAGTGATTCAAGGAGCTTCTCACTTTGCCTCAAGAGAACTAGGCCTCAGCCCAGACCTACAGGCCCCAGTGAGATGAGCCGCAGCAGAACTTTACTTAGAGTTGGTGCCACTGCTTAACATGGGCTTCCAATGGAGCATTCACTATCCTCTTGGGAAGGGTCACAACACCTCAGCACTGAGAGATGAATGGGGTCTTAGGCCAGAAGTCACTGTCACAAAGCAGCTTTGTCCGTGGAGTCACTTCATACTGTCTTTCTAACAAGTGTCATCATTGGACCAACACCTTCTAGGGTGTATCAATCTTTACAATTTACAGCATGCTTCCTCTTGCATTCTCTGATTTTTCTCCCAGTGAGCCTATGATACAGACATTTTTACTCCATTTGTCAGACAGGGAGACTGAGGTTGAGAGAGATTATGTCACAGCTAAGGCAGTGGCAGAGCTATGATTGAAATCAAGCCCACCTTCCTTACTGCTCCATATACCCCCTTGGTCAGAACCACTCCTTTCCCAAAGTTGGTGCTAACTGGACTCTGTTAGAATATTCTGGTCTAGAGACTCAGCAGTCAGTACAGCAGAGTGAAACAGAGCATGGCTGTGTAGCCAGACCCAGGTTCAAATCCCAGCCCAGCCATGTATTAGCTGAGTGACCTTTCTCATCTGGGAAGTGGGGCTAGTGAGGGCTCCCTCAGGGAACTGTCATGGTGATGGACGAGATGGGCAGGGCAGGATGGGAAGAATTTACCACGTCCACCTTCATATCTTGTGCCTGTGGTTGTGTTGCGTGAAGTGTTACAAATATGTTGTATGTTGAGGTCCGTGACCTTAGCGAGGGGAAGCCTCATGTATACAGGGGTAAATGAGTCAGAGGATTCAGGACAGGAATTCATCTGCCAGCAGAGGCTTCGCCCAGTGGACAGTGTGCAAACAAGGCTTTGAGGGTGATGAGCCTGGCACTGTGCCCCGTGTGACACCTCCAGGTGCCCTCACATCTGCAGAATGCCTGGTTGACAAGGACTTTCACAGTCATTATTTAGTTTGATCCCTACAATAATGCTGGGCTAAGAAGGCACTTGAGCAGCTTACAATGGGGGAAGCTGAGGCAGGCAAGATTCAGTCAAGGTCACAAGTCATCAGGGAGCTTCCCCCTGTCTCCTGATGGCAGACCAATGCCCCCTGCTCTTTTTCCATAATAAAATGACTCCCAGGGCACCTGGCTGTGCCTGAACAGCTGCCCAGAGGCTGTGCATTCTCCTCTGGTCCTGGCTGAGGAGACCAGGGTCACTCACATCTCCCTTGAGTCCCACAGCAGACAGGCCCCACTTACCTCGGAAGGGGAAGGTGCCCAGTTTGTGCAGATTCTCCTCCAGTTTCTCATAGTCCACCTCTGCGGTGGCAGTGAAGGGGGTGGTCACAGGGGGATAGATGCCCGCAATGTCCACCTTCCTCCCCTCCCCTGAGGCCCAGCCCCTCATGTTTCTGGACAAGCCCCTGCTCAGCCCCTGCCTTATAGATGACCAGACCTGGGGGCCCAGCATCTCTGCAGGAGGCCCAAGGCCCAGCTGGTCTCTGCCCACAAGGGAAGCTGAGTTTGAACTCCTTTCTACCCACTGTTAATGATCAATGTGTCTAGTTAAAAATTTGCTGCTACCTGACTTGTTAGCACTGGGAAGGCCTGGGCTGGGTGCCCCTGGGATCAAAGGCTAGGCCTATAGGCCCTAGGGGGTCCTCCCTCCCCACAGGGAGCGGCTTTAGAAATGCCACAATCCAGTATCCCTCTGGCCAGCCAGAGGTCTGGTTCCTGGGGTCACCACACTAAAGGGTATCTCCAGTGGGGGGGCTGGGCCCTCCTCTCTCAGTTCCCAGCCCCAAAGCCCCCCACTGTCTTGTGTCTGGGAGTTCCCAGGCTGTACCCGATTGGCTGAGCTGGCCCTGCCCTGTGGGAGGTACAGCTCGGCTGGATGGGAAGCTGAGGTCACAGCCCCTCAGCTGCTGTCCCTGCTGCCTGGCTCCTCCCATGACAAGCCTATGCTGGCTACACACAGCCCTACAGGACAGCGGTCCCCAGGACGGGGGCCCAGGACAGGTGCATTGAGAAGCTGATCTACGCTGCATCTTTGGGGAGGGGGGGTTGCACAGGGAAGAAGCAAAGAGAAGAGATTTTGGTAGGAAAAGCAGCCGGGCTAGCTCAGGGGGCCAAAGGGCTCCAAGAGACCCTTCTCCTTGAGCTCACCCTTGCTCTCATCCTTCCTTTTTTCATAAGTATTTCAGACACATGTAGAAGCAAACACCACAAATAGCAAAAACAACTTTTTTACTTTGGTAGCTGGTGGGTGCTCCCAGGTCATACACAGAGGAATGGTGGGTCTTCAGCTCAGCGTCCATTCTTATGACCCTCTGGCTGCACTCAGGGACAGGACGGGTGCCTGCTGGCCTGGGGCAGGTGTTTACTGGGCTGGTATGAGCTGGGGAGTCTCCTGCCCACTCTCAGTAGGCCCCTCCAGCCCATTTTGCTCTGCCCCTGGCTCGGGGTGCTCCAGAGCATGCCGAGTATCAGCTTGCCACAGCTGCACCAGGTCCGTGGGGGTCTTTCCTGCCTGGGGGAGCCAGGAGGAGATCTGGTCACTGTTCAGAAGTCGGTACCAGGAGGTTCCCTCATCTATATCACCATCTAACTGGCGATGTTGGAGGTGATTGCTCTGGGACTCAAAGAAAACTTGGACCAGGAGACATAGGATCCTGAGGGAGCATGAGGACCACCAGGAGCCAGCACGGTGCTGTCTTAGGAATGGTCGTGCCAGCCAAGTGCTTAGGGCCTGTCCAGCTCTGTTCCTCCCTGGTTTGGGCCTCCCTGGATGTGGACATCAGGATCTCCCCTGGTCTACATGGAGGCCCTTGGGAAGTTCTCTTACCACCCCTCCTCTGCACTCACACTCTGGGAAGAGACAAGCATAGAGAGAGTTGGGAAGGTGGGTGGGCCCCCAGAGAGAGAGACCCTTCACTGTGGGAGGGCTCCAAAGGCAGGTTGGGTCTTGCTGAGTTCCATATTCCCTCCGAATGACCAGCACAGGGCCTGGCCAGCAGTATACACTGACTACTGATTCATGGAAGGAATGAGCTTACCAGATTCTTGGTCATCATGTCGGCTCCATGCAGGAGCAGCAGTTTGATGATTTTGTAGCGGTTGAGCCTGACGGCATCATGCAGGGCACTGTCTCCTTCCTACAGTCAGTGTGACAATCAGTGTGGCCCATGGGGGCATGTGGGAGCCCTCAGGCTGTGTGCACCCCTATGGGTGGAGCTGGGCAGGAGGGAACCTGGACACTCACTCTGTCTTTTGCATTGATTTCCAGGCCCAGGGATAGAAAGTGCTCCACAATCTCCACGTGCCCTGTTCGGACCGCCACGTGCAGGGGGGTGCTCAGCAGCTGGGTGGGGAGGAAGGTGGAACTGAAGAGACTTGGACTCTGGTACCTCTGGGAGGGGAGCTGTCCTAACTCCAGCCTAATCTTTCCCCCAAGTCCTAGTGCCAAGTCCTGCACCCTGGAGGGGCAGAAATGCTACAATTTCCCACCATCCTATCCAATGGTCTAACTCTGAAGCATGCCACCTCCCCTGGGAAGCCCACTATTCCTATCTCACCCAGCTGCAAGCAACTGCTCACTCCTTTGTCCTTCTTCTAATAATTATAATAGATGCCATTTATTGAGAGATTATTAAACATGGCAAAAGCTTACAAAACATCATCCTTATGTTGAATAAATAATTTACATACATTTTCTCATTTAGTTTATATAAGAATTCTTCAAAATGTTTTACAGATAAGCACCAGAGACACTTATTCAAGATTACACAACAAAGAAATGGATGAATAGCAAAATGGTGGGCAAATAAATAAATGAATGGATGAATGGATAGACAGATGGATAAAGGATGATGAAGGATTCCATGGATGAACAAATCCTGTATCTTTTGGATGGTCCCAACGTCCCCAAGATGGTAAATCTCTTCTCCTCACCTCTCCTCTGTTCTTCCTGCTCCCACCCCCAGATGGTGGCCCCCAAGGGCCTGCAGCTGATGGCAAGAACCCCTCCCTGGGCTCTGCAATCACTCCAGAAACCAGACTAGTTCACTACCTCACTGCCTTCTTGGGTTTTTCTGCCCTCTGCCTTCTGACCCCCCACCTTACCCCACAGCCACCCCAATATCCGTGAGCATTATTGCACCTTATCCCTCATGTTGGTGTCTGCTCCTCGACTTTGCAGGAGCTTCACCGCCTCCAAGTGGCCCCCACGGCAAGCCCAATGCATGGCTGTGCAGTCCAGCTAGAATGAGAGGAAGAATGGGGCCTAAATGCAGAGCTTCAGGGAAGAAAGTGCCCTGGAGGAAAGGACCCCAGTCAAGAGATATACAGGGAAAGGGTTCAGGGAAGGGGCAGGGGCACTTCTGTGCCTGGGCAATGGACCAGGCAGATCAGAATCCTCGCAGCCCATCTAGTACAAGCCAGATTCACAGGGGAAGCTCAGGGAGGAGATAGGCCTGCACAAGGTCACATAGGGTGGGGCTGACCCTGAGGCAGCCTGTTTGTGTCCCAGGTTGGCACAGGTTTGCAAGGAGAGGGAGTTTGTTAGTGCTGGACCCACCTCCTACTTCCCACCCAATACCTGCCCTCTTGCTCACCCGATCCTGGAAGTCCACAGTAGCCCCCTTCTCCAGAAGCTTCTCCAGGATCTCCATGTGGCCCTCTAGGGAAGCTCGATGCAGTGCTGTCCGGCGGAACTATCCCCAGAGAGACTGTCAGGGCCTGACCTCTGGCCCTAGCCTGGGCCTATCTCCCACCCAAGCTGAGCCCTGGACCTTACCCCTACTTGATTCTGAGCCCTGGACCTTACCCCTACTTGATTCTGAGCCCTGGACCTTACCCCTACTTGATTCTGAGCCCTGGACCTTACCCCTACTTGATTCTGAGCCCTGGACCTTACCCCTACTTGATTCTTGATGCTGGGTCCCCATATCTTCCATGTTCTGCCAGGAACCTCATGCTCTATCCAGACCAGGCCTGGAGCCCTCTTATGCCCTGGGGACCCTGATCTTCTCACTGCCCCCCAAGTACATTAAGCCAGCCCTGTTCTGCCTGCCAGGAATATCCACTTTGCCCTTACTTCCTGTGAGTGCTTAATAAAGTCTTGCTACTCATTCAAGATACAGCTCAAGTGCCATCGTCTTCTTGAAACCTCTAGGCCAGCGCTGTCCTGGGAGGCCCAGACAACCCTCCACTTGGAGAGTGTTCAAGGGAAGGTCAAGTCTTACTAGACTTTACTTCCCCTGAATGCCCCAGCCCAGGGCTAGAACGGGTAGGTGCACATTGATTACTGATCCAAGGAAGGAATGGACTTCATCCTTTCCTACTGCAGTCAGCTTTCTTGCTTTAGTCACTTGAAACCCATAGGCCATTGCGCATATCTTTCCATTTCTAATGATCTAGTTATACATCAGTCTCCCCACCACTCTCAGCTGTTGCTTTTTTCTTTTTTGTTTTCTTTTGCTCTCAGCACCTCCTAGCATAGGGCTCAGAGGCAGGAGATGCTGGGATAGACCCTGGAGTCTAAGGAATGGAAAGGACATAATAATGTCAATAGCAATGCAGGTTAGTGGGGTGGTCATTAATTTGCTTAATCCCAGGATACGAGTGTGAGAGAGTACCCACCTAGTGTGAGGGAGGCAGTATCAGGGAAAACAAAAGAAGTATGATGGGTGACAGAAACACTGTGAAAAGAGTGACGGCTGCACAATTTTGTAAATGTCATCAATGCCCACTGAACTGTACACTTAAAATGGCTAAAATGGCATATTTCATGTTATATATATTTTACCACAATAAAATAATTCTAAAAGGAAGTATATTATACAATGTGGCCAAAAATAATATTCTATCATGAGCTTTCGAGTTTTTTCATTCATTCATAAATATTTATCAAGGCACTGATATTCCATTTGATATCCTTAACATGCTCTGAGGGAAGTAGGCCTCTTTACAGAGGAGGAAACTGAGGCATGGACAGTTGACAGGCCTAGCTTCAGGTCACAGAGTTATTTGTTACTCTGGAAGTGGTTCAAGTTGAAAACTGTCATCAAGTTGAAAACGGTCTAAGGACATAGATAAATTCCTGTGTGAGAAAGAGCACATCCAAAATCTGGGGGCATCTCTGAAAAGGAGGTGGGCACATGTCTGGGTAGGAAGATCACCTGATCGCATGTGTCCGGGGAACCACTGTCTGCCAGGAACTTCTCAATGATCTTCATGTTCCCCTCCACCGCTGCTTTCAGAAATGTCTCCCCATCTACAGGGCCAGTCTGGAGAGCACACATACAGCCATGGGGGGCTGTCCCACAGTGACCTGAGGCCCTCCCGGCTCCCCTGCTGACACAGGTGTCCTCCCTAGCACCCTTACGATCTCCTCGGGCTCCAGAGGTGCCTCCTGCAGGGCAGCCTGGGCTTCCCGCTTCTTCTGCTTGCGTTTCTTCCTCAGCTCAATGAGGTTCTGGATCCCGCCCACATCAATGATCTCCCTCCTGAGGTCGAGGGATGTCTTGCGTACACGCTCTTGGCCCTGCATAGGGATGGCCCATCAACACCCAGGCTAGGGACTTGGGGTCCCCTGAGTAAACTGGAGGGGGAGGGTACGGAGAGCTTCTCAAGAAGGAATCCAGGTTCAGCTCTCCTGCCCAGGACTAGAAGCAGCAGATGAGACTGGGACACTGATGGCTTAGACCAGGGAAAGGGGAAACTTGAGGGGGCTGCCTAGAAGGTGCCAAGCTTCTAGGCTTCATGTAGGGTGGGGGGTTGGATGACGGAATCTCAGAGGCATTTCCTAGCCCAGGCCACCAGGACTGGGAATGAATGAATCCTCAGCTTTCTATGCAATTTCATTGGCTTGGTACAGTCATAAAAGTAGTACATGATTAATATTAAAAATAAAAGTAATCCAGAAGCATAAAAGATATGAAAAGAAGGCCCTTCTCTCCCTCCGATTGCTTCTGTTATGGCTTGGTTTGATGTCCTATCAGACTGGGGTCCTGTGCAATCATCCTCTACATGATGCTCTGGAAACTGGTTTTCTCTTACCAGCCTGGAGCTCTCCCCTGTCCACATACACAGCCTCTCTCAGCCCTTTAACGCCTGCATGGCACCCTACTGCACAGCTACTCCATTGCCCATCACTTTGGGGCTTCCAAAATGAATTCCCTGGGGTCTTGTACACATGCAGATTCTCATTCATCAGGTGTGGGGCGGGGTCAGGATTCTGCATTGCTGACAAGCTCCCAAGGGGTGCTTGGGTGCTTGTTTGGAGACCACACTTGGAGGGGCAAAGCCATCCCCTGAGCACAGGGGCTGGGTTCTCCTCACACTTACCTTAACCTTTTGTAAGGTTGTACTCGGAACCCCATGGTGCTTCTCATCCTCTAACACCAGCTTGTCCATGGGCAGCTTCTGGTGGATCCCTCGGAGTTTCTGATAAGCCAAAGAGAGGATGTGCTCCAGGGCCTGCCTGTAGCACCTGGGGAGGTAGGTAGCCTCTCCTCCAGGCAATCCAGGCACCACCTACTTTCTCCTATGGGACCTCAGCCCTTCCTCAGCCTCACTCCTGACTGGTCCTGGAGGGCCCTAGGCCAGAGCAGGACTCCCCACAGTTCCCCACCTCAACCCTCACCCCCACTCTAGCTCAAATACCCGCCCAGCAACCACTGACCCCAGTAAAACAAGATTAAGAGCTCCTGGAGTGAGTTTTCATGAAATTAAATGTATTCACTTTTTTAAGCACCAAGATGATGATGATTTTTACTTTTTTGGCATTAAAAATTCACTTTGATGAAATAATTGTATTAAGAGATGAAAGTTACTTTTTAAATGGGCTTACTTGGCAATGCAAACATTTGGCAACTCTACGTCAGATATCAACTTTTTATTTTTCTTCATATTTTATTGATAAAATCCTGGAACATGGAAATTGTTGTTCTCAGGGAATCTGAGGAATGGGGGCCCCAGCTCCCCAGCTTTCAGCTTGGAGTGCCTCTAAATATTACCTATTCTCATTGTAATAACTCCAGTGAAACTCTTCCCTAGCGCCCTATTTGCAGGCTTGACCTGCCTGGACTACTTCACGGTCTCCTTCTTCCTTCTCTCTTCTAAAGGAAACCACTCTTTGTGAGTTGCTGGCACCCATCGCTGTGTGCCTGGAACATTCGTCCAGGCTGGAGGGTGCCAAGTCCAGATGGCAGCTGGGGAGGAATGACCACCCTCACGGAGCTCTCAGCTGCCTTTCTCATTTCCCTCTGAGCTCTGGTGTTGTGCTCTTCAAGGGTCATGTTGAGGTCTGATTTCCTGTTGTCCGAATGCTTCTCCCTTGCATGGCAGGCTTACATGGTTTGGGATCTCTTCAGTGCTGGCCTCACCTGAAACACTGCTTCTTCTTCCAGGGATAAGGGGCGACCTGCGGCTGCAGCTACTACTGCACATGGGCTCCTCCTGGAACATCCAGAGGGTGGGCTTGGCTCTTAATTTTCTTGATCTCCCCAGCAACTATAACAGGGCCTAGCACATAGTAGGTGCTCAGAAAATGTTGGGAGAATGGAAAAGAATGAGTGAATGGGTCATGGCAGGTGGGCTCAGCATCTCTGCTCACCCAGTCCTCAGTGATAACCTGACCTAGTGAGCACCCAACAACAGAGGCCCAGCCCCTGGGCTGGCCTGCAGGGCTCTCCTTTCCCTTCCATGTCAAGGAGGAGACACAAGCTGGAGAGAGGCTCTCCTCTGAGAAACCTGCTGGGCTGGGGTATGGTGGGCACACCTGGGGACTCTAATGCTCACCCACGCCTTGCCCAGACTCTATAGTCTGTTTCCTCAGATTTGTCTTTGCGGGCTGGCATATAGTAGGTGCTCAATAGATGATTATTTAATTAGATGCTTGTTGGTAAAATAAAATGAAACAAAACTCACACCTTCCGACATAGACTGTTGTACAGGTTAAATGAGAGAAGGTCTATACAATGCTCAGCACAGTGCTTGGCACAGAGGAGGCCCTGGCTGGGGAGGCTGGCTCTATGGGCCCCTGGTTTCCTAACAGCCCTGCTGCTACATTTGTTGGATGAATGGATGGATAAGGACTGTTGTGTCCCCTTGCTGAAGGTCTCTGTGTCCAGTGGCAAGGCTCCAGAAATGGCACAGCAGCATGACTCACCTGCCTGGCGCTGCCCAGCCCACGTGCACATGCCCTTGGAGGAGAAGCAGCATTCCTGGAGATTCAGGGATGCCCTGGCCAGCACTCAGCAGACTCAGGCCAAGCTCTTCCCTGGCAAACCTGCCCTCCCTTCCTTAGCCCGCAACTTTGCTTCCTTTTTCCTTACCCCTATTCAGTCACTCTTCCTTTTTTGAATGGAGTCTACCTCTAAACTGATTTATCTCCTTTCTCCCACTCCTGTTAGAGCCAGTCTTTCCCCCCATTCCCCAACAAATCCTTCTCTGGGCTGCCTTCCTAAGATAGGTCAGATGGCATCACTCTCTCTCATGCCACATTTAGTGGCTCCCCATTGCCGACAGCATATTTTTCATGTGGACCTCTCTGGTTTATGCCCTGCCTCTCCTCCCAGCCTTCTACAACAAACTCCCAATCATGTTTTTCATTCACCCAAAGCTTAGCACCCATCGTTTCCTTAGCCTGGAATACCCTTCCCTCCCGATCTCTACTCACCATCTTTGAAGGCCCAGCTCAAATGCCATGCTGCCCACAGAGAAGTCCTTGAGGGCCCACCCACCCTTTAAGCTCTTTCACTTTGAATTTGACACCTCTATTTCATCACTTCTTCACTCTGCCTTGTTTCTTGGTTGATGGCACCTAACAAATGGCTGAAATAAATGTGGTATTGGTAAAAAGGAGGCAGGGGCTGGCCTTAACTGATCCTCATCCCTCACAGCACCTGGCACTTGGCAGAGCAGATCATAGGTCAAGTATTAGTTTAAATAAAAGGAAGAGTAGGACAAGTCTGCATCCCTCCCACTGCTTCATCCCAGAAGAAATGCAATTAACCAGAGCCCCAAGTTCCAAAGGCATCAACAAGTGTGAAGGGCATTCCTGGGAAAATCCACGCTTCCTCCCCAGCTTCCCTTCACTGTGTTACCAGTCATCATTCTTCTTCAGGGCCAAGCCCTGGAGTTCCTCCTGCCCCAGCCTCTCACTCAGCAGCTGGGGCATCTCAGGGCTCCCCACTTCCACATCCCCACCAGTGCCCCAGCTGTCCTGCTCTGTGCTGCCTGGCAGCCCAGGTAGGTGGGCAGTCTCAGGGAGCACAGCTTGGCTTGCCCACAAAACTGTCTCAGTTCTTGGGGCTGAAGCCTCAGTCTCCCACTGCCAGTAACCCCTCTTCCAGGGGTATGCTGGGGCTGGCATGGAGCCAGATGGGCCCATGGTGACACCTGTTCTCTTGCCCACCACAGGGGTGGCAGCCAGGCTCTTCCTTCCCTTGACAGCAGAGTTCGGTCTCCTCAGAACCCCCTTGGGCCCCCATACCTCATTCTCCTCCTCCTGTGCCAGCCGCTGCTCGATAAGCTCTGTGGCCCTCTGCACTGCCTCGGAGCCTGCCATGGTGCTGTCTGTAACCTGCCTCTGTAGGCCACAAGGCCACAGGGGCTTTATAGGCCAGGACACCCACTCCCGCCCTACTGGGCGCTTTTGTCGTGAGCTCACTGGCCCAATTCTCCACCTGCCTCCCCCACCTGTCACCTTCACCCGGGGCAGCCCCAGGGAGTGGGAGAGGCAGGGATAGTTGCCCCCTGGCCCTCAGCCTATTGGACCTGGAGTGCCCAGCACAAGAGCAAGGCCTGCAGGAAGGAGCCGGCCCAGACTCTGTCCTGAGTGCTTTGGGCCCAGCTGGGCCTTAGCCAGGGCAGCTGGGCTTCACCAAGGACCAGCTGGCTGCCCCTACCCTGATGGCAGTGCCACCTGCTGGACGCTTGGAAACTGCCCAGCCAGAGCCAAATGTGGGGCCTCATACAGGTCTGTGCTCTATGTTGTCCTGAGAAGAGGCCCTGCTTGCTCTGGGGTGGGGCAGATTCTGCCTTGTCTGGGCTGGAGTGCCAGAGTGGAGGGACGGTAGGGGCAGTTACCTCCCCCTGCCCGCAGCTTCTGTAGGCCTTTCCCTCTCTGGGTCCCACAGTGCCCCCTAGCGAGGCATTATGGCGTTTGGCTACATGTTCACTAGCCCCTGACAAACATCAGTCTGTCTCAGGGGCCTCTACAGGACTTAGATGGTCTTACTTCAAGAGGGGTCTCAGGAAGCCACTGGAAGGGCCAGTGTACAGTGCCAAGCCCAGCTGATGAGGACACTAGCTCCTCCTTTCCTTCCAGTTTCCCTATCAGGCCATTCTGACAAGGGGGCCAGCCATGCTCACTGAGAAAAAAAAATACTCCTAACTGGAGAAAAAGCAGACTTGAACTTGCTCAGTTCCATACCTGGAACTGAGGGAGTGAGCCCGGGGTCTCCATGACCCAGGTTAAGCCTGCGAATGAACCATAAGCGCCACAGCTCTGCAGTATCGTAATACCCACATGGTCTGCCCTCAGGTAAACCACCTTATCTAAGAGCCCCTCTGCTTACATGCACACTTTCCTCTAAGGAAGCAAAGGAACCAGTTCCTTTTTCTCTCTGGTTCCCTTGCTAGCAAGCTGACACATGCTCATAATCTAAATGTGTCAGAGGTTTTGCTTTAACATCACCAGAGAGGCAGTGTGTCCAGGACTTCTATACATTCCTCATTCCTGAGGGCCCAGCTCAGGGACTGGGGCGGCAAGCCAGCACTCTCCTGCTGCAGAAGCAGACTGCCAGGTAACTAACGCTCCTTCCCGAGATGTCACCTTTGCTTTCAAGCACAGCCACAGCTGTTACCTTTATCCTCCCAACAACTGGAGGAAGAAGCAGGGCAGGCAGCATCACCACCACTTGGAGAGTAAGCCAAGTGGGTTCATAGGTTGAGTGGCTGTTCCCCAGGACCTATACACACTAGCAGTTCAAGGCTCCCTTCACTATACTCCCTGCTGCACCCAGAGCAGCTGGGAAGGCCTTACACCCATTTATTCCCACACCAGAACTGAGGCCTGGGCTCCACAGAGCTGTAGGAGGATCCAGAGCCAAAGCCAGGCAAGAGAGAAGGAAGGAGCAAAAGGCTTTATTGATAAATATGCAGATATGTTTGTACACAGGGATCTGCTATGGGGCCATGACCAGGCTGCAGACCCCTGCTTCTTGGGTTACAGCCCAGAGATGGCCCTGTGCAGACGCCTGCCACAGCAGCCCAGCCATCCAGCCACCCGCCTCATCTCTGCCAATTGTGCTGGGGGCAGGGGGAGGCAGAGGCCAGCCTCAGGCTCCCCACCCTGAGGGCTCACGAGCAGTCCCCTCTCCTCCAGTGGACTGGCCATGTGCCCAAGGCAGAGTCAGGGGGTGGAGGCAGGGACAGGAACAGCAGCTGCTTCAGACCCTGAGCAGAAAACCAGAGTGAGCACACCCAGCAGCACCAGATGACAGATCTGGGCTCCGGGGCCTCTGGGCTGCCCTCGTGGCTCCAGCCTGCTGATGGAGAGAGGCAGGGTGGAGGCTCCAGTGCGCCTTTACTCTGATAAAGCTGGCAAGGCTGGTGTGCAGCAGCATTGCTTCCTGGGTGCCAGGCACTTGTGGCCCCTGGTGCCCCTGGGAGGCAGGGTCCCTTCACAGTTCGCCCAGCAGCCATAGGGCAGGGAGGAGGCGCCCCTGAAGAAAATAACAGCATTCAAAGGCAGCAGCAGGGTGGGGGACCTAGTGCTCCAGCTGGAGGCCTCTCAGTCCCACAGAGGCCCTCCCTGGCCTTTCCTCCCAGGAGTCCACGGGCTCATCAGTCCTGGGGTGGTGGGGGCTGGTTGATGATGACCTGGATGACAAAATCTTTCTGGATCTTGGTTTCCTGGAGCCGAGTGCGGTCTGTGAGCAGCTTCCCAGAGAAGAACCATCGCTGCCAGGACGGCTCGATGCCCTCCTGGGCGTGCAGCTGCCTCTTAAGCTGCCCCACTGTGTCAGGCAGGCTGGCGTCAAGCCTCACGTCCCTGCCTGTGGACAGGCGCACCTTCAGGGGGAACTCCCGGCGCATGCTGGGCGTCGGCTCGGGGGGCTCCAGGCTCTCCTCCTCAGTGTGCTCCAGCAGCAGGTTCACGGGCGGAGACAGGCAGTAGATGGGCAGCTGGTAGCAATTGCCCAGCTCATCATAGCATTCACAGAGGGTCCCTGTGGGAAGGGCAGGGCAGTCTGAGTTGGCCTGTGGATCCACTGTTAAGGACTGAATTGTGCCACCCCCTAAAATAATTTGTTGAAGCCCTAACCTCCAATGTCACTGTATTTAAAATAGGGGCCCACCTGGGAGTAATTAAAGTTAAATGAGGTTGTGGGGATGGGGCCCTGATACAACAGGATTAGTGTCCTTAAAAAAACAAACACCAGAGAGCTCTCTCCCTACCATGTGAGACAGAGAGAGCAGGCAGCCATCTACAAGCCAAGAAGACAGTGCCCACCAAAAATCTAATTAGCTGGCACTTTAATCTAGGGCTTCCCAGCCTCCAGAACTGTGAGGATAAATTTATGTTGTTTAATAAGCCATCTGATCTATGGTATTTGTTATAGCAGCCCAAGCAGAAGCAGACTAATACTTGGGTCAGGGCCACCTCACAGTCCCTAAATGCACCCTACAGTAATGTCTCCCTGGGACAGCTGGGAGGAGCTCAAGATAGAATCAGGAAGACCTAGGCTGGCATTCTGGCTCTACTAGGTAGTAGCTTGTTCAACCCCAGCAAAGTCCCTAGCTTTCCATTTGTTCTTTCAACAACCCTTTCCTGAGCATATATGCTGGGTGCTGGGGTTACAAGTGTGCATGAAACAGCACAGGTCCTGCTCTTCACGGCTTATACCCTAGTGGGCCTCAATTTCCTTATTTGCAAGGTTTTGAATGTAGTAATATATTTATTGTGCCTTGAGCATTTACTAAGTGCTGAGACTGGACTAAATGATGTTACATGTATCCTGTTGAATCCTAACAGCCATCCTATGATGTAGGTACCACTGCTTTACAGTTGTAAGTCACTGAGGCTTTAAATTCAAGAAGCTTCTTGCTCAAGGTCACACAGGCAGGAAACAGACACTGGTGTTAAAACCCAGGTCTGTGACTCTGGAGTTCCACTGTTATCCTCTCCTTCACATGGCCCCATAAGGCTGTGATGATCCTAAATGAAATAATGCAGTAGAAGCTTCTAGCTCAGTGCCCAGCACATAGTAAACCCAACAGAAGGTTGGTACCTCAGATGTTCTGGGATGCCAAAGCACCCTGAGTAAGTCTTCAATTTGCTCTCATTGCACAGCTGTGAGGTTTGCTGATGCCTTTCCACCTCCTCATTAGGCAAGCAGGGACTATGTCTCGTTTTTCTTTGGGTCCCCACTCCTGATCCATCATGCTTGGTAAGGGTTGTTTGAATGAACAAGTGAATAGCCATACATACACCATCCCCACACCAACTTGGATAGAAACTCCTGATGCCACTGGCTCTCCTCCAGCCTGAACAGTGCTGATGGTCCCCTTGCTCCAGTGGGAGAAAGCCCTGGCCTGCCCACTCACCATGAGGCAGGGTGATGCTGGCTCCGTCTAGGATGGCCTGAGCCAGCTCATGGTCGTTGGCCTCCGCTGCATAGGCGGCAGCCTTGAGGGCGTCCCAGATCTCCTTACGGCCCTCAAAAGCGGGTGCTGTGTCCCAGAACTCATCCCGTTTGCTCCGCAGCTGCCCGTCAGTCATGGGGTAGTCACTCTTCCACTTCAGACGCTCCTTCCTCAGGGGCTCATTGCGTCCTGGGCAGGGCAAAAGGGTGAGGCTCAGCATCTCTAAAGCCAGGGCTGTAGCCCACCCTCCCCCAGCCTCCTGTACCCCAAACCCTGGCTGCAGTGACTATGAAGTATTTAAATTTCCAGGCCCTTTCTTGGAATCACGGGAGAGTTTGGACACTGCACACACCTAATCTGCACATATAAACTAGTTTTGTCAGAGAAGTATACACTGTCTTGGGGTTACTGATGCTGTTAAGTTTTATTATTATTTGATCCTCAAAACACAACAGACAGGGAATCTAAGAGCATTTGTCACTGGCCTAAGGTGACATAGGTACCAATTTAATGCAAGACTTTCTGACTCCCACGGCCACCCTCTGCTCGCTGTCCATACCATGCTACCACTGGGGGTAAAAATTACTCAAGGATTCCATCATTCAGAAATAAACACTGTTGGCACCTAGATATATTTCCTTTTCCCCATTTTTCTCAATATAGTTGAGTTCCTATTATTAAATTTACTTCTTATATTCCTTAATACAGAAAGGATTAAAAAAATTTCACACCAATATACTTTATTTTACACTTTCGTTATTATCAATATATATTTCCATGATTAAAAATGATAAACAATTGTAACCTGTGTTAATGTTCCACCATACAGTTACAAAGAATATTTTTTTAGAAAACCATAACCAACCAGTCAAAAAAATTCCTACAGCATCTGAAGAAGAAAACAATTCTGTTAAACGTCATTTTTCTTGTTACCTAGCCCCAAGTAACCTCCAAGACAGCTCCAGACCACGGTCAAGATTGAGGGCAGAGGCATCTTTCAAAGGCTTAGGAGGCTAAGTTACCTCAAAGCTTAAGGCAGAA